CGCCGCGCCCGCGGCACGCGTCCAGGACGCGCGTCGAGACGGGCGGCCCTCCCGGCGGCGGCGGCGGCATCCCGCCGTCCCCCCTCCCCCCCGCGCCGTCCGTAGACGCCGCGACGCCGCTGAGCTTCGCGCGCAGGCGCGCGAGCACCTCCCACTGCGACTCGTCTCTGTTCACGCCCGCGACCTCCGCGGACTTGGGCATGTACCCGACCGTCCCCGGCGTCGACCCCGGCTCGGGCGCGACCGCCCGCTGCGCGAATCGCGCCTCCATCGCGCGGCCGCATCCGTCGGCCGCGCCGTCGAGCGCCTCGAGCGCGCGCGTCGCGAGCTCCGTCGTCTGGAAGCTCACGAACGCGTACCCGCGCGGCTTGCCCTCCTCCGGGTCCAGCGGGACTTTGATCTCGTGCACGCCGTCGAGGAGGCCGCGGTTGGCGAGGAGCGATCGCATCGCGTCTTCCGAGTCGATGCCGAACGACAGGTTCGCGAGGAAGAGCTTGCGGTCGTGGTACGCCTGAGGGACCGGCGCGGGTCCTCCGGGAGCGCGACCGCCGTGGACGACCATCGCGGGGACCGGTGCGTTGGGACCGGACCCGATGGACGACCGCGGTGGGCGGCGACGCGGCCGCGCGCGCGTCTGTGGCGGAACCTCGTCAGTTCCAACTGAACTCGTCGTCTGGCGCATGGGAAAACTCGACGCGAGAGACTTGACGCGCGCGGCGCAGAGATCACGACGCGGGACGAGCGGCCGCGCTCGCCGCGATGCGCGCGTCCACCCTCATCGGCGCGCGCTCGTCCGCGTTCGCGTCCGAGCTGAGGCCGGCGAGGGCGGCGGCGAGGGCGGCGTCGTCGCGCGCGAGCGACGCCTCGCGCGGCGGGTGCCGTTCGAGCCGACACGTGGCCTCCTCCACCTCCTCCTCCTCCTCCTCCTCCTCGTCCGACGTCACGAGCCTCGCGCTCGAAGACCGCAAGTCGCTCCTCCTGCGCCTCTGCGCGAACACGGACCGCGGGAAGTCGGTCACGCCCGACGCCGCGAAGCGCATCGAGGAGCTCGTCGCCGCGATCGAGGCTTCGAACGTAACGCGCGATCCCGCCGTCTCGCCGCTCATCAGCGGCGAGTGGTCGCTCGTCTACACCGGCGCGAGCGCGAAGGACGCGGCGGAGCGCGCGAAGCGCGAGGGCGTCATCGGCAGGACGCTCACGGAGGTCACGGGAAGCGGTGGGAACGTCGCGGGCGAGGGCGGCGCGGAGACGCGGACGACCGACTCGATCTCATCGATCTCGAAGAAGAAGCCGCTGCCGCTCGGAAGGAGCATCTCGCTGCTGTCGGGCGCGGTGGAAAACAGAGGGAACTTCCAGGACATCGACGCGGCGCGCGGCGTCGTGGAGAACCGCGCGGAGCTGAGCGTATTCGGCGTGCGCGCGGAGGTGAAGATCGAGGCGAGCTGCGTCCCCGCGGCGCCGTCGGACGCGGGCGGGGAATCGATAAGACTCGACGTCGCGTTTCGGCGCGTCGCGATCACGCTCGGGCCGCTTCCTCCGCTGTCGATACCGCTGACGTTCGTGAACGACGGGAAGGGGCCGCAGGGGTGGTTGGACACGACGTTTCTGGACGACACGATGCGGTTGGGAAGGGGCGATAAGGGGTCGACGTTCGTGACCGTACGGCGCGGGTGACGACGACAGCTGCGCGTCGCCCGTATAAATATTATACAACACGTGGCCGCGAAGCCTCCCGTTCAAAGACACGACGCGTCGCGTCGCGTCGCGTCGCGTCCCGCGCTCCCTCCTCCCTCACGGCTGTCCGCGGCTGCCCATCTTGTACCCGTCCGCGTCGCCGGTGTCCATGACCGCGATCGCGCACGCGCTCGCGTTCGAGACATGCGCCTGGATCTTCCCGTTCATGATGGCGTCGAACTTCTCCTTCTTTTTTATCCTCCTCTTCTCGCTCTGCGCCTTCCTCGCGTCGGCGCCCTCCTCGAACGCCCTCTCCACCGCGCTCGTCACCATCGTGCTCGCGTCGTCCCCCGGCGTCGGGAGTTTGCCGTCCACGTCCGTCAGCGCGAGCGCGCCCCCCGCGGCGACGAGCGTCGCGATGCTGTCTTCCCACTTCAAGTCCCCCGTCGCGTCGCTCGCGTACGCGTCGCACGCGACGTGCAGGCACGTCCTCCCCTTGATGTCCTCCGCGTTCGGGTCCGCGCCCTTGCTCAGCAGGAGCTTGATGATCTCCACTTCGCCGAAGGACGCGGCGAGGTGCAGCGGCGAGGCCCACGTCCCCGGGGCTTCTTCGTTGACGACGGCGGTCGTCGCGGCGTCGTCCTCGCACGCGTCGAGGACGTCCGCGACCGCGTCGACGTCGCCGGTCGCGATCGCGCGCGCGAGCTTCGACGGCGGCAGCGCGTCGTCGTCGGCGTCGGCCATGGCGGGCGGGCGGGCGGGCGGGACGACGCGCGCGCGGGTTCGAGGCGGGCGGACGAGCGGCCCACCCGGGGCGCGTCGTTGTGCTGAGCGACGGAGCGGCGGAGGCGTCGGCCTTCGACTCGACGACGACGCATTTCCGTTGAGAGATCTGAATAAGAATGTTGAAACTCGACGACGCGCGCGAACGCGCGCCACGACGTCGCGCGCCGCGGGAGGTATGTCGAGCAAGCTCGACTACCTGAAGCGGTACCTCGACGGCGGCGGCGGCGACGCCGACGCCGCCGCCGCGGGCGGAGGGGAGAAGAAGAAGAAGCGGCGGAAGAAGGACAAGCCCGCGGGCGGACTCGAGATCCGCGCGCCGGACGTAGGCGGCGTCGTCGTCGCGAAGCCCGTCAAGGTATGCTCGGGCATCCGCGTCGTGGACGAGGACGACGAGTCGTGGAAGCGCAAGCGCGACGAGCTCGAGGAGGCGAGGCGACGCGAGGACGAGACGCCGACGATCGTCGGCGGCGGCGACGGCGACGGCGCGAAGACGACGAACGCGACGCGCAAGTACCTGGGCATCCGCGAGGACGGGAGCGGATGGGCGGTCGTCGCGGAGGACGACGACGCGACGCGCGCGAACGCGAACGCGGGGGTCGGGCGCGGGGGTGGGGGCGGCGGCGGCGGCGACGACGACGACGACGATCTGTCCCCGCCGCGGCCGGGGAGGCACGACAGCGACGACGACGACGACCTGTCGCCGCCGAGGCCGGGAAGGCGGCACGACAGCGACGACGACGACCTGTCGCCGCCGAGGCCGGGAAGGCGGCACGACAGCGACGACGACCAGTCGCCGCCGCGTCGGCGCCCCGGAGCGCGGCGCGGCGGCGATGACGGCGGGGACGGGGACCTCTCGCCGCCTCGGCGTGGACGAGGCGGGTCGGACGGCGATCTGTCCCCGCCGCGACGACGACGACGACGCGGCGGCGAATCGGATTCGGATTCGGATTCGGACGCCGACCTCTCGCCGCCGCGGAGAGCGCCCAAACCGCCGTCGAGCGGGCCGACGATGACGGACGGCACGACCACCGGCCTCGTGGACGCGGCCGTCGTCGTCCAGGAAGCCGCGGAGAAGCGCGCGGTGGCGAGGGCGAGGATCACGGCGATGTCCGACGACGTCAGCGGCCGCGGCGCGGCGACGCAGTTCCGCGACAAGGCGACCGGGCAGCTCATCGACCTCGAAGAGCAGAAGAAGCGGATGGAGCTCGCGAACGCGCGGAGGAAGGAGCCGGAGCGACCGGTGTGGACGCAGGGGATCGCGCAGGGTAGGGCCGCGAGCGACGCCGCCGAGGCGTTGCGGCGAGAGGCGGACGCGCCGTTCGCGCGCGCCGACATCGCGCCCGAGGCGGAGGACGCGCAACGCGCGGCGGTTCGATTCGGCGACCCCATGGCGCACCTCGCGCGCAAGAAACAACAGAACGCGGAGATTTCGATGCCGAGCGTCGTCGCGGGGATAAGCGAGGAGCAGCTCAAGAAGAGCGGGTTTAGGATCCCGCAGGAGGTGCCGGAGCACAGCTGGATTCGACGCGGCGTCGGGCCGCCGCTCAACCGGTACGGCATCAAGCCCGGGAGGCACTGGGACGGCGTCGACCGGAGCACCGGGTTCGAGCAGGAGATGTTCAAGGCGAAGAACGACCGGCGGAGTCGCGATCAGAGCGCGTGGAAGTACGTCCAGCAGGTGTGGGAGTGAGCGGCGCCGACGGCCGCGCGCGTCGTCTCCGTAGCTAGCGATCGGTCGGTCCACTCCACTTTTAGGGTTTGTTACTTACGCGGGGGGCGCGGCGTCGCGCCCCCCGACGAGACGTTAAGCCGGACGTGTCTCTTACGAACAAGTCTACGACCATCACCCCCCTCACGTCTCTCGCCGCGCCGACGTTCCCACCCCGCGCGCGCTCGTCTCGTCGTCCTCTAAGACGAATCGAGTCGACCGCGCGTCGAAATCAATCATCGACGTCATCGTTCACCACTCGCCATTGTCGCCGCGCGCTCCTAAGTTCCTCGTTCGCGCGCTCACCAGCCGATCAGCGCGCGCCGTTCGGTTCAGTTCACACCGGAACCTACGAACCTCACCTTCATACTTAAAACTTCATCTCGTGCGGCTTGTCCCCGGACCTGAGCGTGAACTTCGTCGCCATGTACCCCTTGAGGTGCGGCACCGCGTCGATGGCGGGCGACAACGCGGCGTCCAGCGCCTTGTTGTCCGCGACGTACGACGCGGGAAGCTCCTTCTTCTCCTGCTTCTCGTCGAAGAAGTCCTCCTCGGACTTCTTCGTGCGGTCCTTCGCGGGCTTCTTGAAGTACGCGTCGTCGAACTTCTTGCTGTCGACGGCGCCGACGTCGATCTTTTGGGACGTGGCGATCGTGTAGCACTGATTCACGCGCTTGATCGGCACGCCGTTCACGCCGTACGGGCCGCAGACGAGGAGGAGGCCGGACGGGAGCTGGCGAAGGAACACGACGCGCTTGCCCTTGAAGTGACCGGCGAGGAGAATCAGGATCGTCCCCGGGGTGATGTTCTTCTTGAGCTTCGTCGGGTTGTGCGCGACGGCGGCGCGCTTCAGCGGGAACTTGACGTCGTCCGCGGGGTAAAACGCCGGCGTCTTCGTCTTCTTCTTCGGCGCGGTCTGAGCCTTGCTCAGGACGCCCTTGAGCGCTTGCTCCGCGGAGGTGACTTTCACCATTTTTCTGGGTGCGAGTGGGTGCGTTACCGGGAGGGCGTACGCGTCGCGTGCGTCGTGGCGCCGCGTGAAGAGGGAGCGCGCTGCGGACGCATCTCGAAGTCGTGCGGCGATTTAGGGTTTTTTTTCGGGCGTGATTGACGCCGACCGGACCCGAAAACGTGACTGATTCACACAGCTGTGTATCCGTGCGCACCGCCGCTTCTGACTGCATCGCGCGCGAAACGAAACTCGCGCGCTGCACGCGCGCGATCGCTCCGGCGCGCCGGCGCGGCGGCCCGGCGCGCGCGTCGTCGCGGAAATCGCGACAACCGTCGAGGCCACAACGCACGCGCGACGGCGCGCGCGGTGGCCTGCGGAGCGAGGAACGACCGGTCGCGAGGACCGACGTTCCGAGCCCGGGCGCGGCGGCGGCGGCGGCGGCGGCGGCGGGAGTCGCGGGAGTCGCGGGAGTCGCGGGAGTCGCGGGACCGCGACGGGGAGGGGCGAGGCGCCGACTTCGCGGATCGATCGATCGACGCGCGCGGTCGACGCGGCGGCGGATCGGATCGTCGTCCGCGAGCGATCCGCCATGGGCCTCCTCGCGAACGCGCTGCGATCGCTCGCGACGCGTCGCTGCCGCGACGCGCTGCGCGCCGCGCGCCGCGAGCGCGCGAACGCGCGGTGGACGGCCGACGCGATCGGCGGCGTCGATCGACGCCCCGCCGCCCTCTTCGCGACGTCGTCGCGCGTCGCGTGCCAGGGCGCGCGGGAGGCTCTGAACGACGAGGACGACCTCGAACGCCCGGCGAAGCTCGCGGGCCGCGACGACGACGACGACGACGACGACGACGATCGCGATGACGCGCGCGTCGTCGCGGGACGGTGGGGACCCCGCGCGGACGGGTCGTTCGGATACGTGCCGGAGGCGTCGTCGTCGCGCGGGGGCGCGCGCCCCGCGCGCGACCGTCGCGCCGCCGCGCCGCGCGCCGAGCCGGGGACGTGGGGACTCCGCGCGGACGGGACGTTCGGATACACCGCGGCGTCGTCGCCGCTCGACGCGTCGCGAGAGACGCCGTCGCGCGGTCCGGAGGCGTCGCGCGGCGACGGCGCGCCGCGTGAGCCGACGTCGACGTCGACGACGCCGTCGAGCGAAATGGAGTTGGACGACGAGCTCCATCGCGGGGAGCGCGCGTTCGCGGACAGGACGCACCCGAACCGACCGACGCACCGACCGATGTCGATCGTGGGCGAGGCAGAGAGGCGGCTGCAGAAGATGGAGGCGATGAGCAACGATCCGGGGTTCGCCGCGATCAAGATGGTCCTCCTCGCGATGCGCGAGCAAGAGAAGAGGCTCCGATCGCCGCTGTCGTACGATCCGATGTCCGAAGATCCGCGGACGCGGCCGCTGGAGGAAAAGCAAAGGAACAGAGAGACGAGCGTGATCGACGACGAGGTGGCGCGGTACCGCGAGGCGCAGCAGCGACATCGCGAGGCGCGGCAGCGCAGGGACGGCATCGAGCGGATGGTGGAGCACGCGAGAGAGGCGGCGAGCAGGGGCGACGGGCTCGGCGCGACGGCGGCGGGGAGGAATTTTTTGCACAACTTCCTCGAGCCGCTGTCGAGGGCGATCGAGAAGGAGCAGGCGGAGATCCGGAAGAAGGTCCCGGGCGCGGACCGGACCAACTACGGCCCGTTCATGCTGATGCTCAACCCGGACAAGCTCGCGGTGATCACCCTCCACGCGGTGATATCGCAGCTCATGATGGGGGACGACCGCGTGAAATTTTCCGGGGACAACGGTCAGGTGGGGAAGAGCAAGTTCGTTCGCGTCGTCGAGCGCCTGGGCGAGGCGGTGCAGGCGGAGGTGAACCTGTCTAGGCTCAAGCAGCGCGGGAAGGTGCGACCGAAGGATCCTTCAGAGCGAGAGCGGCGATTCAGGGAGGAGACCGCGGGCGTCAGGGATCTGGCCGAGGACGCCGGCGACGTCGACGAGTTCCTCGCCAAGCCGCATCTCACGGATCGCTTCGCGAAGGTCAGCGCGAAGTCGCTGAGTAAGCTCACGACGGTGCGATCCGTCGCGAAATTCGCGAGGAGGGCGCTGAACGACTCGGACTGGGGGATGACCGCGCGCGTGAAGCTCGGGAGCGTCCTCGCGAAGCTCCTCGTCGAGACCGCGAAGATCGAGGTGCCGGATCCCGAGAGCGGCGAGCTCGAGATCAAGCCCGCGTTCGAGCACCACTACGAGTACGTAAACAGGCAGCAGCGGTACGGGATGGTATCCTGGCACCCCGCGTTCTTCGACTACATCGAGCACGAGGACATGAGGCACGCGCAGATGAGCCTGGTGAGATACATGCCGATGGTCACGCCGCCGCGGCCGTGGAGCAGGTTCGATCAGGGCGGGTACTTGTGCTCGGAGACGTTCGTCATGCGCGGGAACTACACGAGGTTGGGGCCGTCGTGGGGGCAAATCATGGCGCTCCTGGGCGAACAGAAGCGGTCTGACAGCGACGGAGAATGCGCGAGCTATCAGCCCGTGTTGGACGCGCTGAACGTGTTGGGAAAGACGCCGTGGGTCGTGAACGAGCGGACGGTGGACGTCATGCAAAAAGTCTGGGACGACGGCGGCGGGATCGCGGGCGTGCCGCCGCGGAGGACGGTAGACGAGCCGGTGTGGCCGGACCCGGGGTATCGCCTTCGAAGGGACGACCACGCGCTGCACGCCACCGCGCAGATCTCGCGAGAGGACAAGAGAGAGTACGTCAACGCGAAGGTCCGCGTGAAGCGCGAGAACCGAGAGTTGCACTCGCAGCGGTGCGACTTTTTGATTAAGCTGAAAGTCGCGCAAGAGATGCGCGACGAGGAGAAGATCTTTTTCCCGCACAACATCGACTTCCGCGGGCGCGCGTACACGATGCACGCGCACTTGAATCACATCGGGAGCGACGTGTGCCGCGGCGCGCTTCTCTTCCAGGAGGCGCGCCCGCTCGGCGAGAACGGGCTGGACTGGCTGTACGTGCAAGCCGCGAACCTCTACGCCGCCGGCGGGGTGGATAAGCTCCCTCTGGACGAGCGACGCGAGTGGATGAAGACGCGGCTGGATCGCATCAAGGCGTCCGCGCGCGATCCTCTGTGCGCCGACGACGCGAACTGCGCGTTCTGGCTCGAGGCGGAGAACCCGTGGCAGTGCCTCGCGACGTTCATCGAGATCGCCGCCGCCGTGGACAGCGGCGACCCCGCGTCGTACGCGTGCCGACTCCCCGTGCATCAGGTGCGTTCTATCTCACACTGGTCCCCATACGACCGCGTCGGCGTGGTGAACGCCGATCCTTAAGGACTTGTGCCGCCGTCTCTCTCCGCCCATCCCTCGCGTTCAATCCCCGCCCTCGACGCCTTTGAACTCCACCTGACGCCTATGAACTCCACCCCGACGTTCGCTCGTACGGAACGACCCTCAGGACGGGTCGTGCAACGGGCTGCAGCACTACGCCGCGCTCGGTCGCGACATCGGCGGCGGCGAGCAGGTGAACCTGACGCCGCGCGACAGCCCCGGGGACGTGTACACCGGCGTCGCGAACGTCCTGAAGCGGATGGTCGCGGAGGACGCGGCGGACGCGTCGGACCCGGAGACGGCGGCGACGGCGGCGGCGCTCGCGCCGCACATCGACCGGAAGCTCGTGAAGCAGACGGTGATGACGTCCGTGTACGGCGTCACGCACGTCGGCGCGCGACAGCAGATACAGAGCCGTCTGCGCGAGCGCGGCGCGATCGAGGACGAGAGCCTGCGGTATCGGACGGCGAACTACGCGTCGCGGCGGACGCTAGACGCGTTGTCGAATCTTTTCGTCAACGCGAGGGAAGTCATGTCGTGGCTCGGGGAGTGCGCGCGCGTCGTCTCCAAGGGCGGGAAGCCGGTCCAGTGGACGACGCCGATGGGTCTGCCCGTCGTGCAGCCGTACAAGGCGCCGAGCAGGAAGGTAGTTCGCACGATCGTGCAGTCGTTCGTGCTGCAGTACGACTCGGAGGGGAGCGCGATTCAAAAGCAAAAGCAAAAGAGCGCGTTTCCGCCCAACTTCATCCACAGCGTGGACTCCGCGCACATGATGAAGACGGCGCTGGCGTGCCAGAGGCGAGACATCGCGTTCGCGGGCGTGCACGACTCGTTCTGGACGCACGCCAGGGACGTGGACGCGATGAACGAGGTGATCCGAGACACGTTCGTGGAGCTCCACTCGGAGCCGCTCATGACGACGTTGTACGAGGAGCTCAGAGAGACGTACCCAGAGGCGGCTGACGAAATCCCGAAGCCGCCGCCGCTGGGGGAGTTGGACCTGAACGAGGTGAAGAAGTCGAGGTACTTCTTCTCGTGACGGACGACGGGGGGGGGAGGAGGAGGAGGACGCGGGACGAGGACGACGCGCCGCGGTAGCACACATAGAGATCGAAGTCGTTAGGAGACTACGAATTATTTTGCGAAATACGCGCATCGTCTGCATCTGTCGGTTGAGGTTCGAATTACCACGACGACGGCCACTCGCGGCCGTCGCCGGGGACCCCCCCCCCCTTCGCGCGGCGCGTCGCGCCTCGGGAGGGACGATGGCGTCGGCGTCGTTCGACTTCGAGTTCGGCGGCCGCGGCGGCGGCGTCGCGCGCGCCGCCGCGGGCGCGCTCGACGAGGACGACGACCGCGCGGAGGATCTCGCGCTCGCGGCGTTCCCTCTGACGCAGATGACGCTCGGGGTGTGGAAGGCGAGAGCGCACGGCGGCCTGCGGTTCCTCCTCGCGCGACGGTCGTTCGTGTTCGTCGTCTTCCGCCGCCGCCGCGCGGTCTCCAGGCTCGCGCGCGCGAGCGACTTCGCGCTGAACCTCGTGAACAAGGCGATGCCGAGCTCGCGCCTCGTGACGTCGCGCGTGCCGACCTCGCCGTTCAATCTCGAGAGGACGTCGTCGTCGAGCGCGTCCGCGTCGGAGGCGGCCGCGGCGTCGGCGAGCACCCCGCGCGCGGACGCGGCGGTCCCGGGGACGCCGACGGACGACGCGGCGGTCACCGGCGGCACGCCGTCGTTCGTCGCCGGCGTCGGGTTCACGCCGCCGAGGGGCGCGCGTCAACATCAACATCAACGCTCGACGACCAACCACCTCGTGCTGACGTTCGAGGTGAAGTTCGAAGACCTCGTCGGGATGGACTACAAGAACCCGCTGTGCGAGGACGGGCGCGTCGCGATCGAGGCGCGCGCGGTGACGAAGCGCGCGTTCGCGGACTACGACGCCGCGATCGCGTTTTTCGAGGCGCGAGACCGCCGGGCCGACGGCGGCGAAACGAATCGAAACGCGCGCGGATTTTTCGACGCGAGCGGCGGCGCGGGGTCCGCGGTCCCGGTCCGGGGTTCGTCGGGGAGGCGGTCGGGCGATCGCGATCGCGCCGCGCGTCGACGACTCGGCGGTGGGAGCGGTGGGAGTGGGAGCGGGGGCCTCCGCGCGCGGGAGAGGGAGCGAACGCCGCCGCCGGCCGCGGAGGAGGAGGAGGAGGAGGAGGAGGAGGACGACGATGACCGCGGCGGCGGCGGCGGCGTCGCGCGGAAGCGCTCGCGCGGCGTCCTCGAGCCGTCGTTCGCGGCCGTCGACACGAAGAAACCGTTCATGCCGTTCGCGGTGAAGCCGCCGGCGGAGGGGATGGAAGACGGCGCGTCGACCGACGCGGCCGCGGCCGCGGCCGCGTCGCCGCCGAAGACGCCGCGGGAGGACATCTTGCGTCGACGCCTCACGGTGGACACAAAGACGAAGCGCGCGACGCCGCCGATACCGGAAACGGCGTCGGACGGCAATTTTGTGTCGGACACCACGATGTCGGACACCACGCCTGCCGCTCGGATATCGCACACGCCGCCGTTCGACACCCCCGCGGGGTACCGAAACGACGGCAATAACGCGGGGAAGGCGGCGTCGCGGCGCGCGCGCGTCGGGTATAGCCCGGAGGCGTCGCGGTTCAAACCCGCCGCCGTGGGCGGCGATAACGACTCGTCGCGCGCGTCGTCGTCGTCGCGCGCGTCGACGACCGCCCCGGCCACCGCGTCGTGTGTGTTCTTACACCGCACGATCATCGCGTGCTTCGACGACCCGGACCTCCCGGCGGCGCTGCGACGCAAAGTCACGTCGCGTCAGCGCCTCTTGCGTCTCTACGAGAGCGGTCTCCCGCCGTGGGCGCTCCTGCTCCCGTCGTTCGGGTTCTACTATCGCCCGTACCTGCGCGGCGTCGCGCGCGCGCTGTTCGTGCTCGTCTCCGTCTTGTCCATGCTCGCGGGGTTCTACGACCTGTACAAGAACATCCCAGGGTTCGGCGCGGTGCTGACGCGCGCGCTCGGGCCGTTCGTGACGTTTCTGGAGACGCACGCGTCGACGCGTCTCGCCGTGCTCGCGTCGTATTTGTTCACTCAGGCACGTTCTATACACTGGTCCCCATACGACCGCGTTCGCGTGGTGAACGCCGATCCTTAAGGACTTTTCCCGGCGTTTCTCTCCGCCCAGGGTCCCTCGCATTCAATCCCCGCCCTCGACGCCTTTCAACTCCGACTGACGCCTTTCAACTCCGCTCCGACGTTTGCTCGTATGGAACGACCCTCAGAGCGCGATATTCGCGCCGCTCATGGCGCGGCTGTCGCCGTTGCTGCGCGTCGGCCGGTCCGCGACCGCGGCGGTGTATCGACCGCTGGTGGGGTTGTTCGGGGGCGCGTGGGGTGACGTCGTCGCGGTGGTAACGGTCGCGACGTCGCCGTTACGCGCGGCGTTCGCAGCCGCCGCGCGTCTCTTCGGCGTCGTCGCCGCGTCGTCGCCGGCGCTTCGAACCGTCTTCGCGCCGATCGCGGCCGCGTCCAAAGGCGTCGCGCGCGTCGCGTCCGCGGCGACCGCGGTCACGGTCACGGTCACGGCGGCGGGCGGCGGCGGCGGCGGCGGCGCGGCGTCCTCTTTCGCGTGGTGGCTCGACGCGCGGTTATGGCGCGAGTTTGGCGTGTACGTGTTTCGAGCGACTCAACGCGCGGCGAACGTGTTCGCGTTCGCGCTGACCGCGGCGCTCAGGCACCGGAGAAGCTCGCAGATCGCGACGCGGAGGTGGTGGCGGCGGACGCGCGCGAAGTGGGCGGCGGCGAAGAACGCGTCGTCGCCGACGGGGAGCGACGGCCACGAGAAGACGGAGTGACGCGCGCCGTGGACGACGACGACGGCGTTCGATGTCGTAGATGATACAGTGTGATGATGCGGTACTGTACACGCTGAACGCGCCGCGCGCTCTCCTTCCCCGCCGTCTTCTTCTTCGGAACCTCCTTCCCCGCCGTCTTCTTCTTCGGAACCTTTCGCTCCCCGCCGCCTCGCATCTAACATCACAAGAACGCCAACACGAAAAACTGGAACGCGACGAGGAGGAAGATGCCCACGCCGACCATCTCGCCGCCGAACTTGGGCCCGCCGGCGTACATCTCCTCGTTCGGGTTCTTCCCGCGGCCGTCGTTCTCCGCGCGCGCGCGGAGAGAGAGTCCGCGCGCGCGAGGGGTCGTCGCCGCGAGCGACGACGACGGAGACGGCGTCGTCGTCGTCGTCGTCGTCGTCGTCGTCGTCGTCGTCGTCGTCGACGTTCGCCGTCTCGGAGCGACGCCGACGCGCGCGGCGTTCGCTCGCGACGACGTCGACGCGCGCGGCGCGACGACGCGCGCGGCGACCGGCGCGCCGACGACAGTGCCGATGTGCATGACGCGCGCGAGGAGTGTTCGGGCGAGACGACGCGTGCGTGCCGTGCGGTCTGATGACGGACGGGGTCGGATAACGAAACGCGCTCTAAACAGAATGCGACGACGCGAGACCTCATCCTCACTCGCCATGTCGCGCTTCCTCGCGGCGGCGGCCGCGTCGTCCTCGGCGTCTCCGCCGCCGCCCTCCGTCTCCAAGCACAAGCAGACGCTGCGGTTCAAGGACGCGCACACGGGCGTGGACGTCCTCCTCGTCGGAACGATGCACTACAACCCGGCGTCGATCGAGCTCGCGGCCGCGTCCGTCCGCGACCTGTCATCCGCGAACGCACTCCGCGCGATCGTCCTGGAGACGTGCCCGACGCGATGGGCGAAGACGCGAAGGATGCAGCCGCGCGGCTCGTTCCTGCGCATGCTCCTGGACAACGAGTTCCAGGCCGCGGTCGAGGCGCGCGACGGCGGCGATCGCGACGTCGTCCATTCGATCCCGATCGTGCTGGGCGATCAGAAGATCGAGGACCTCGGCGCCAGCGCGAAGGCGACGCTGCGCGCGACGTGGGAAGACTTCTCCTCGCCCTTCGACGGCGGATGGGCGCGGCTGTGGCGCGACTTCGCGGCCGCGTACGCGCGCGAGGTGGACAGCGGCCCGGAGGACGCGGGGTTATCGCTGAGAGATCTCGCGACGGACGCGCCGCTCGCGCTCGGGTTGCCGGTGTCGTTCTTCCGGTACCCGCTGGCGTGGAGCGTGAAGTCGCCGAAGGTCATCGTGCCGTTCGCGGCGTTCGCGTACACGCTGAGCGAGCTTCCGAACTGGTTGTCAGCGGTGCCGCGCGGAGTGGCGCTGGGTGCGAGCGCGCTCGGGGGCGTCGGCGTTCAGAATCTGCCGTCGGCGGAGGAGTCCGCGGTGTCGATTCTCTTCTTGGTCTTGGACGTCTTGGAGGTCGTGTTCCTGAGCAGTCTGTTCCTGAAGGCGCTCCTGGCGACGAGGAACGACGTGCTGTCGCGGAGCATTCGCGAGACGTGCGTCGACGCGGCGAACGCGCGGCTGGCGGCTGGGAGCGGCGACACAGCTGGCGCTGGCGTCGGAACGGTGGTCGCCGTCCTCGGCGCCGCGCACCTGAACGGCGTCCAGCGCAGGCTGATGGAGGACGCGAGCGATGGACGCGCGTCGGGGGCGTGCTGGACGGAGCGCGGGGACGAATACGAGAGGGCCCCGGTCGTCGCGGAGTGACGCTTTCGACGAGTAGCGGCGCGGCGGTAGCGGCGCATCATCTAGATTATTCTTTCGTTCGTTTATTACGACTCCGACACCTGACTCCGACCTCGATCGTCCGCGGCATCATTCGCGTCCGCGCGCGTGCCGTCGTCGCGCGCGATGTCGCACCACGAGATCTGCCGCGACTTCCTCAAGGGCGCGTGCAACCGCCCGGGGTGCAGGTTCTCGCACAGCGACGCGCACTTCGCGCGCGGGAGAGAGAACCACGCGTCGTCGTCGCGCGACGACGCGCGAGGCGGCGGGGGCCATCGGTACGAGAGAGGATTCGACGAGAGAGGATTCGACGACCGGCTTCATCGTCGCGGCCGCGACGACCGCGACCGTCGCCCTCCCCGCGACGATCGCGACCGCGATCGCGACCATCGAGACCGCGGCGATCGCGACCGCACTCCGCGCCGCTCGCACGGCGCGCCCGAGCCGTCGTACGACGCGAACGGGTTCGACCGGCGGTACCAGAACACCGCTCCGCGCGGCGCGGGGAGCTCGGGCCAGGTGCGTTCTCCTTCACACCGGTCCCCATACGATCCCGTTTGCGTGGTGAACGCCGATCCTTAAGGACTTTTCCCGGCGATTCTCTCCGCCCAGGGTCCCTCGCTTTCAATCCCCGCCCGCGTTGCCTTTCAACTCCGCTTCTGACGCCTTTCAACTCCACCCCGCCATCGCTTCGTATGGAATGGCCCTCAGCTCCCCACGCCGGGCGACTGGGTATGCGGGCCGTGCGACACGCTCAACTTCAAGCGGCGAGACGACTGCTGCAAGTGCCGCGCGTCGCGGACCGAGCGCAAGCTCGACGTGACGTCGTCGAACATACGGGAGTACATGGAGCGACGAGAGAAGCAGGCGGCGCGCGCGGCGCGGCGCGAGGAACGACGCGCGGGCTGCGGCGGCGGCGGCGGGAGAGGCGGCGACGCGCGGCGATCGAGAAGCCGCGACGGCGACGATCGTCGGCGTTCAGGTGCGTTCTATACACTGGTCCCCATACGACCGCGTCAGCGTGGTGAACGCCGATCCTTAAGGACTTTTGCCGGCGCATCTCTCCGCCCACACCACGGTTTCAATCCCCGTCCTCGACGCCTTTCAACTTCAACTGACGCCTTTGAACTCCACCCCGACGTTCGCTTGTATAGAACGGCGTTCATCGAAACGCCGCCGTCGGTCGCCGTCCTCCTCCTCCTCCTCCTCCTACTCGTCGTCGTCCTACTCTTCGTCGTACACCGGGAGCTCGTCGTCGTACAGCAGCTCGTCGTCGTTCAGCGAGACGGGGTCGGAGACGCGTCGGCGGCGGCGCGAGCGGCGCGCGCGGCGAAAGGCTGCGGCGGCGGGAGGAGACGGCGGCGGCGGCGAGAGCGAGAAGCGCGAGCGCGCGGACGACGACGCCGCGAAGGAGGAGGCGCCGCTTTTGGACGCGTGGGGGCTGGTGAAGGACGAGGTCAAGAAGGACGACGCCGCGAGAGAGGACCGCGGCCGGAAGGAGGAGGGCGAGAAAAAGACGAAGACGAGGGAGCGCGACGACGATCGCCGACGCCGCGACCGCCGATAGACGTAGACGCGCGATGAGGTTAGACGTTGAACGAAGAACACTTTCTCTTCTAATGCATGTCGTCGACGCGCCCCCTTCTCGCTCTCGTCACAGATCGTCCTTCTCGCCCTTCTCGCCCTTCGGCGGCTTGGACGCCTTGATGTTCCCGAGCGAGTCCGCGAGGTTCCGCAGCTGCTCGATCGGCATCGTGTCCATCCCGCCCGCGAACGAGAGTCCGTTCTTCCTGAGCTTCGCGAGGATCGCGTCGCGCTCCGGGTCCCCCGTGGGCTTCTGCTCCCCGCGCATCTGCGCCATGAGCTTCTCGATCTCCTCGTCGCTTCGCTTCTGCTGCTCCGGGTCGAGGTTCACGTCCGGCTCGTGCGGCTGTCGCGGCGGACGCGTCGTCGTCGTCGCGTCGTCGGCATCGGATTCGTCCGTCTTCTCGACGATCGGCAAGTCCCACACCTCCGCGGCGCGCTCGACGTAGTCCGCCTTCTCCGCGCAGCCGCGGCAGACCGCGCCGCGGTCGTCCAAGATGGCGCGCAACTCCTTGATCTTCATCTTCTTGAAGTCCGGGCGCCCCGCGTCGGCGTCGTCGGTCGTAGCGGACGATTCCGCTTCCGCGGACGACGATCCTCGCTCGTCGCCGCCGTCGTCGTCGGACGCGAGCGCGACGGGGAGGCGCGCGCCGAAGAGCGCGCACAGGGCGACGAGGAGGAGGAAGACGCGCGCGGGGGAGAGACGCGACGCGATCGTCATCGTCATCTTCGCGTCGGGGGGAGGGGGTGCGGGTCGATCGCGGAGGCGCGCGTCCGCGTGTGCGCGCGTCGCGTCGCGTTTCGTCGACGTCCTTCGATCGACGAAAACAGCCGGATCTGACTGGATGTGACGATCGATGAAAGCCGATCGCCGCCGGCCGCCCCTTCCCCGGCGTCGTTCCCGCGATCACGCCGTCGACGCGACGCGGCGAAGATGAGCACTGCGCACGCGATGACTTCACTTTTTTATACACATTTAGACATGAAACCTACGACTATCGTCGGGAAGATATACAAGGAAGGGTTGGGGTCGGGTCGAATCCTGGCCAGTTTCAGCCCGCGGGCCAACGACCACGACCCACCCTTCGGAAAAGAATGAACAAGGCGACGCGTTCACCATTCACTCCGGTCGCCCGCCGCGCGACCGAATCGACTTCCTCCTCGCGATCGCCACCATCAAATCAGCGCCCGCCGGCGCCGTCCGCGCCCGCGCCCGCGCCCGCGCCCGCGCCCGTCGCGGCGGTGCCCGCGGCCCCCGCCGCCGCCTGAAGCTCCATCTGCGTCTCCATCTGCGTCGCCATCTGCGTTTCTCGCGCGCTGGCGAGCTGCCACTGAAGCTCGGACGCGTACGCGGCCACCGCGGGGTCGATCGTCGCATGAGACTGCGCGGCGCGCAGCGCCGCGGCGCGATGCAGCGCGAGGCCGAGGTCCGACGCCGGCGCCGGCGCCGGCGCCGGCGCCGCCTCCGGGCGCGCCGACGCGTTCAGGTACGCCGCGACGAGATCCGCGCGGGGCGAATCCGAGGCGGCGGCCCCGGCGGTCAGCGCGGCGAGGTTTTGGCCGTTCGGGTCCGCGCCCGCGGCGACCGCGACTGCGCGCGCGCGCGCGAGCTCCGCGAGGGAATTGCTCGCCGCGGCTTGCCGGAGCCGCAGCCGGAGCAGAAGCGCCTCGGTCGCGGTGGCGTCCGCGGGCGGCGCCGTCGCGCCGCCGCCGACGCCGCCGACGCCGCCGACGCCGGATAACCCAAACCCAAACCCGCCGATCCCGCCCAGCCCGCTCAGACCGACCCCAGACAGCCCGCCCCACCCGCCGAGCCCGGCCAACCCGGCGACGCCGCCGAGGAGCCCCGCCGCGCCCGCGGCTCCCGGTCGCGCCACCCCCGGTCCCGCGCCCGCCTCCAACGCCGCGCGCGCGGTCGCGTCGAACAGGCCGCCGAGGAGACCCGCGGCGGCGGCGGCGTCGCGCGCGTTCGCGGTCGCCGCCGCGGTCGCCGCCGCGATGGCCGCCGCGGCCGCGCCGCCCGCCGCCTCCAAGTTTTTCTTCTCCTTGGCCGCCTTGCGAATCTTCCGCCGCGACTCGTTGTACGCGTCGAGCGCTTGCCGGCACGTGTGCCGGCTCCCGTCGAACGCCGCGAGCGCGTGGAACGACGAGCACCGCTGGCAGAACCTCTGGTGGAGCCCGTCGCGCAGGACGTCCAGGGAGTCGATGTGCTCGCGGCACGTGCGGTACCGTCGCGTGTATGCGGTGTCGCACGCCTTATCGCAGCCGTCGGCGGTGCACGGACACGTGATCTGCGCGCGCGGGTGGACGCGCGCGAGCTCCGTCCTCGCCGCCGCGTTCGCGTCGGCGTCGGCGTCTGGAGTCTCCGTCTCGGTCGTCTCGGTCGTCGCCTCGGGCGCGGTCTGCGTGTGCGTCGTCGTCGTCGTCGTCGTCGTCGGGCGGGCGGACGCCGGCGCGTCGTCTCGAGCGTCAATTCCGCCCTCTGGGTCGAGGCTCGTCGAGTTCGACTTCCCGCTGTCGAACTTCTGCCTCTCCAGGTCGCTCGACTCCGACCCGAGGTCGCCGCGCTTGCGCTTCACGGCCTCCTCGGAGTGCTCTTTGCGCGCGCGGTCGAACTCCGCGTCGATCCGCGCGTCGAAGTCCTCGTCGCCTTCCGTCGACATTTCGCCCACACACGTCCGAACACACACGTCCGAACAAAGGTGGGAATGGCGCGGGAGCCGCCGCGCGTTCGCGTCCGCGTCCGCGTCCGCGGGCCTTATCACCTCCTATCGATCTCGCGCGTCGTGAGCGATGGAAGCGATCGAACCCTGCGCGTGCGCGCGCGGTTCTGCGCGCGCGGCGCGTCGACGACCACGCGCCGCGAGCGAGAAAAGTCTCGCCGTTCGTACGAGCAATTAGTCTGCGTTTTTTTCGCCTGTCTCCGCCCCTCTGAGCCGCCCCTTCGCATATCTTCTCGAAGATACGCGCACGGCACGGTCCGAACACGTGTGCAAAGCCTAATTTTTATTTTTATGCCCCACAACTTAGGGCTAGATATTTCTGGATCCCGTTCGGAATGTGAACGGAACGGAAGGGATACAGTACGTTCGGGTTCATTCCTATCAATTTTACCATCGTGAGCGACTTTCAAGCCGAGCTCGGCCGGGTTCAACGAACGCTTCGCGCTCGGGTTCAAAGCCGAACCCACTCTCGCCCCGCCTCGCCGGTCGCCCCGCCTCGCCCCGCCTACGACGCCGCCGCCGCGCGCCGCCGCGCCGCGCTCCCGCGCACGCCCAGGTCCCCGAACACGAAGTCGGGGTTCGGCAGCGCGAGGTCGACGAACAGACGCCCCGGACGCCCGGGCGCGCCCGCCAACGCGAACGGACCAGGGTTCAACACGTCCAGCGGCCCCGCCGCCAGCTGTGCGTCGTCGTCGTCGTCGTCGTCGTCGTCGTCGTCGTCGTCGTCGTCGTCGTCGTCGTCGTCGTCGTCGTCGTCGTCCGTCGTCCTCTTCGTCTCTCGCCCGCCGCTCGCCGCGAGAGCGACGGCGCCGTCCCTCACCATCGTCCGCGCGAGCGCGCGCGTCGCCGCGTCCGTCGCCGCGGGCCTCGTCGCCGCGCGCAGCCTGCGCTCGGACGCGGCGAGCTCGACGTCTCGCGTCTCGCCCGACCCGGGCGCGGGCGCGAGCGGCGCGAACGACTTCATCCTGGGCTTCGCAGCGTCCCTCGCGCGCCGCGCCTCTCTCGCCTTGGCGTCCGCGGCCGCGCGCCGCAGCGCGCCGATGCGAAGCGGCGGCGGCGCGATGGTCGACGACGATCCGCGTCCTCCTCGCTCCTCCGCGCGGTCGCGGCGGCGGATCGTCGCGGCGGCGGCGACGGCGCGCGCGACTCTGACGCCGTCGCCGTCCTCGAGAAGGTCCACGCCGAGCGACGACGCCGTGGTGGTGGTGGTAGTGCGCGGAGGGGCGTAGAGGATGGCGACCGTGCCGCCGCCGATCTCCTCCTCATTCACCAACGCCGCCGAAAGGTACGAACAGTACCAAGCGCCGACGCGCCGCGAGCGATCGTTCAACGTCGCGCGCGCCGCGGCCTCGCCGTCGCGATTCGTCGGCGTCACGCCCAGCCTGCGGCACAGCTCGAGACGCGCGCGCGCGCGCCGAGCCTCGGACTCGAGCCTGCGACTCGTCGTCGCCTTCGCGACGGCGCGGCGCGCCTTCCCCCACCCGCGCGCGTTTCGCTCGTCGCCGTCGCGGTCGCCCAGGTTGAACCCCAACCCGGTCGCCTCCGCGTCGACGGGGAAGCCTCGCTCGTCGAGCTCTCTGTCCGCGAGCATGCCGTCCGTGAACGCCATCCCGCGACGGCGGTTCTCGCGTCGCATCTTCCGCGCCATGTCCGCGACCGCGTGTTCCTCTCGCGACATCAGGTCGTCCCCTCTCGGCATGAATTTGGAAGCCGCCCTCTGGCCCAAGACCTTCTTGCGCAGCTCCGCCTCCGCGGCTTTTCGCTCCGCCGCGGTCGTCTTCGCGAGGTCCTCCGCGCGCTGGATCACCTCCAAACGCGCGCCGCCGACGTTCTCCGTGACCTTTACCATCAGCTTTCGGCGGTGAAACGCCAGCATGAAGAGCGCGAACGGAAGCAACGCGTCCTCCTCCTCCTCCTCCTCCTCTCCTCCTCCTCCTCCTCCTCCCTCGCGCTCACGATGGTATCCGAACCCGTCCTCGTCCTTCATCCCCGACGCGATTCGATCCACCTCGCGCTGCGTCGCGGCGCCTCCGCCGCCGCCCCACGTCCCGGTCTTCGCGCCGCCGCCTCTGCGCTTCGCGTCGAGGATCTCCGATCGAAGGCGGTCGCGTCGACGCGCGATGCGCTCGCCGCCGCCCGTCGCGCCGTGATCCGCGCCCAGGCGCGTCGTCATGAGCGTGAGGAACTCCGGGAACTCCACCTCGCCGCTGCCGTCCTCATCCACCTGGGTCATCATCTCCTCGATCTTCGCGCGCGACGCGCGCACGCCGAGGACTTCGAACGCGCCCGCGAGCTCATCCGTCGAGATGGCGCCCGAGTTATCCTCGTCGATCGTCTCGAAGTAGTGCGCGAGCTCCGCGCGCTTCTCGCGCGCGATCGCCGGGCGCGTCGCCTTGCCGCGCCTGAGAAGCCACTCGGACACCGCGGACGGGTCCGAGGACGCGGCGGGTGGGCGAGTTCTCGACGACGACGACGACGACGACGACGATACCAAGCACGACGACGATCGACCCCCAACATCTCCCGCCGCGGTCGCCGCGCTCGCGGTCGTCTCGTCCGCGTCGTCGTCGGCGTCGTCCTCCCCGAGCGGCGTCCACGGGAGGCGGTAGAAGACGTGCGCGCCGCCGGCCGCGGCGTCGGCGCCCATGACGCGACGGAGAGGCAGCACTCTTGCGGGGTCGCCGGTCGCGTCGTGAATTCTTCGTTCTCGTTTCCCGAAATGGTGCCGATTCCGCGTACTCGTACACGTTTCGCGTACTTTAAGACTGTAAACACATACAGTACTGTACGTCGGGTGCACCTGAAGATCTCTCCACGTGGCGACTTCGTTGGCGTTACGAGAGACGAAAACGCGTGCGGCCGCGGCCCATTTCGCACTCTCGGACGCGCCGCGCACGACCCGCACGCCCCGCGCACGAAACCATCATGGCGCCCACGCACTCGACGTGCTTCTGCAACAACCGCGGCGGCGTCGGCAAGACGTTCATGGCGTTCCAGACCGCGTGCGAGGCGGCGAGATCTCGCCCCGACGCGAACGTCTTGGTCGTCGATTTCTCCCTCTACAGCGACGTGACCGCGCTCCTCCTCGGCGGCAGCGCGCGCGAGGGGTTCGGCGCGCCGATGAAAGGCCTGCAGGTCACGGTCGAGAACACGACCGCGGACACGCGCGCGGAGGGGCTCATTCGCGACCTCGAGCTCGCGATCGACGCGGACGACGACGACGCGCGCGCGGGAATGAAGAAGAAGACGAAGGGCTCCGTCTTCGGCGCGTTCTTCTCGAAGCCGTCGCCCGCCGCGGCCGCGTCGTCGCGACGCGAGATCGACCTCCAGAAGTACATGATCCGCCCCGCGGCGCACAACCCCGCGATCCCGCCGAACTTGTACCTGATCCCCTCCGCGGGCGCGGTGTCTTGGACAGACACGCAAGAGACGAACGACGACGCCGCCGACGCCGCCGCCGACGACGACGAATTCGTGGACGCGATGGACACGACCGACCGCGCGCCGCTGTGGACGCGCAAGGGCGACGCGTGGCACCGCGCCGGTGCGCGACTCGCGAGGGCGCTGGACGACCTCCCGCCGAGCTTCGACGCGGTTTTCGTGGACACCGACCACCTCGCGGCGTGCGTGCTCACGAAGTTGGCGCTCGCGTCGTGCGAGTCCGTCGTCGTGCCGCTGTCGTTCGACGACGGCGACTTCAACCGGCTGTTCCAGGACGTCACCGGGAACGCGCTGTTCACGGACGTGATGATTCCGATGAAGGCGAAGGGCCAACTCCGCGCGCGGGTGAAGCGGATGGTGTTCAGCAAGGTGGGCAGCAACAAAAACGAAGCCGTGACCACCGCCGGCGGGATCGAGTCGCCGTTTAAGCCGTCGAAGACGGTCATGGATCAGATGGACGCCATGGCGCAGCAAGTCTGGGCCGCGTGCACGCACGACGAGCGATACAAGCAGCTCTTCGCGGGCGCGGAGGAGCTCGCGCCGGGCCAATACGGGGGCGGAAACATCGTGGGCGCGTTCACCGCGAAGTTCTTCACGGCGATGAAGATGGCGCCGGACCTGGCGGCGAATCTGAGCAAGATGATGGGGCTGCCCCTGTGCACGATGACGTCGCGGACGTACCACGCGCCGTCGGGGCTGGAGGGGCAGTCTGGGAAGCCGGTGTTGGACTCGCTGAAGTCGGAGACGCAGCGGTTGGTCGCGGGGTTGTTGGACGACCGGTACAACCTGCCGTTGTTAGAGAGCTGATCGGAGGACGCTTACTACGTCGAGTAGGAGTAGGAGGATAGGAGGACGTGGAGTAGGAAGAAATCTAGGTAGGAGGAGGCGGAGGATACAGACCCGAATATACTGTAGCAGCGCGTTTGTGTTTGTTTGATTCGTTCGCTACACGTACACGTACACGTACACGATGCGCTCGTCTTCGCGTTCGTTCCTCGCGTCGCGTCTTCCATCTTCGTCTCGTCTGCGGCGTCGCGTCGCTCGATCGCTATCATATCAACCTATCCCCCCCCCTATTTCTCAAGCCGCTCTCCGCCGCGCGTCGTTTCGCCTCCTCCGCCGCGCACGCGATCTCGTGAATCATCAGCGCGCTCTGCGCCGCGAACACCAAACTTCCGACGAAGTACCCGACGAAGAGCGTCGGCGCGCCGTCGCTCGCCCACGGCGCCACCGCTTTCAGCGGCGGGTTCAACCACTCCGGGCACCGGCACGACCCGATCAGATACAGCAGCGATCCGATGAACGACAGCCACGCGATCCACGTGGAGACGTTCGACGGCGTCCACGGCGGCCGCCAGCTCCGGTTCGCCGCGCACCACAACACGTACGATCCCGCGACGTACGACGCGCTCCCGACGAACGACGGATAAAAATACAGCCACAGCTCTCGCCGTTCGCTCCAGCGCATCGTGCGCTTCCCCTCCGCGGGCGAAACCGCGCGCAGAAACATCGTGAAGATCATCACCTTGAACAGCACGACGCCGGCGAGGATGAGCGCGGCGCTGACCACCTCCAGCGCGCGTCTCCGTCGCGTCCAGCTGTCGTTGGCGAGCCACAGCGCCCTCGCCTCTTCCATCGCGTTCTCCGTCGATAACAGCTCGCTCCTCTCCTCGTCGTCCAGCGGCACCGTCGTCGCGTCGACGCCGACGACGCCGCGCTCGCCGACGGCGGCTCGAAGCGTCCAGAAGTCGTCGTCGCGGGTCGCGCCTCCTCGACCGCGGGCGTTCATGAATCGATGCTTCCTCGCGACGCGTTTGCGATCGGCGCGGCCTTTACAAGCGAAAGTCGGGGTGGAGTTGAAAGGTGTCAGTTGGAGTTGAAAGGCGCCGAGGGCGGGTATTGAAAGGGAGGGGTGGGCGGAGAGAGACGACGGCAAAAGTCCTTAAGGATCGGCGTTCACCACGCGAACGCGGTCGTATGGGGACCAGTGTACAGAACGCACCGGGCTCTCCGTAGCGCGCCTTCCACGACGTGTACAGCAAGAGGCACGAGCCCGCGAGGAAGTGGAGCCCTCCTATCATGTACGGCATCACCTCCAGGCGAAAGTAGAGGCGCGGGTCTTCCGCGACGCGACGCGTGGACGACGCGAAGCCGCCGACCGCGAAGCCGATCGATCCGATCAGGAAGCACCACGCGACCCACCACGACGGATCTCGCGGTCGCCAGCACCAGCGCGGGCGCGACAGCGACGCGGTCTCCGCCGCGCTCGGGCGGAGGACGACCGCGACTTTCGTCCACGGGTCGAACGCGTAGACGCGCTCGCGGCGGCCGGACGGCGCGAGCGGCGACGCGCGGAAGAGGCGCGAGCCGTCGCCGCGTTCCATTCGACTCGGCGTCGGCGTCGTCGTCGTCGTCGTCGTCGTCGTCGACGCTTCCTCGACCTCGCCGCCGTCGCCGCCGCGCTCGCCGTCGCCGCGTTGTTCGTCGTCGTCCTCCGCGGCGACGTCGACGCCGATCGCGCGCCACGTCGCCTTCGCGGCGGCGCCGCGGAGCGACAGCGCGCTGGGCGACCGCGAGATCCCGTCGCCTCCCGCGTCCGCGTCCGCGTCCGCCGCGGCGACGTCGTCGTCGTCGTCGTCTAGCAGCCGCGTCGTGAGCGGCGCCTCGACGGCGCGCGCGACGAGACGCTCGCGCGCGTTCTCGTACACGTCGCCGAACATCGCGCCGCGCGCGCGGCGGCGGCGGCCGTCGTCGTCGCGTCGCGTCGCGTCGCGCGCTTCGGAATAACGAGTCAGCAGTCGAAGACTGTGATGTCGTTGAACGAACGTGATGAATAATGCCAGTGCATTCCGCGGCGCGCGGCTGACCCGCGTCACCGGTCGCGGCCATGCGCGTCAAGCGCGCGCGCAAGGTGCGGAAGTACCTCCGGTACTACCGCACCTGCCACGGCTTCAGAGCGCCGTACAAGGCGCGTCCTCCGCGCGTCGTTCGCGTCGTCGCTCGGATTCATTCGTTCCTCTCTCGCTCGCGCGCTCGTCTCGGCGGCGGGGCGGCGCGGCGTTCCGCGACGACGACGGTCGCGTTCGCTCGGCGCCGCCCCGCCCGCCGCCGCCGCCGCCTCCTCCTCCTCCTCGTCGTCGTCCTCCTCGTTCTCCTCCTCCATCGCGCCCCGGCCGCCGCTGACGCGCTTCCGCTCGTCCCCTCCCTCGTCCGCGCCGCGCTCCGATCCGTCCATCGCCATCCTCCGTCCAGGTCCTCGTCGACGGCAACTTCCTGCACGCGGTGTCGCAGATGAAGCTCGGGCACGCGAAGGACGTCCTCGCGAAGTACCTCGGCGCGCCGTCGAAGCTGTTCACGACGCGATGCGTCGCGCACGAGCTGAAGAGCATGGGGGCGGAGTTCAAGGAGGCGTCGTTCGCCGCGCGGCGCGCGGAGGAGGTCAAGGGCGGGCCGGATCCGCCGACGCCGGCGTTCGACTCGGTCGTCGCCGCCGTCGCGGGCGACAACGCGGAGCGATTCATCGTCTGCACGCAGGACGAGAAGCTCCGACGGAAGCTCATGAGCGACAGCGCGCACGTCCCCGTCGTGTTCTGTCACACGTCCGGGCTGCAGATGGAGCCGCCGTCGGACGCGACGGGCGGGGGCGTCGCGAGTCAGGCGCGTTCTATACACTGGTCCCCATACGACCCCGTCGGCGTGGTGAACGCCGATCCTTAAGGACTTTGCCCGGCGCATCTCTTCGCCCAGGGTCCCTCGCTTTCAATCCCCGCCCGCGTTGCCTTTCAACTCCATCTGACGCCTATGAACTCCACCCCGACATCGCTTTGTATGGAACGGCTCTCAGAGCGAACGCGCGGGGGGGCTGAGCGAGGGCGAGAGGCTCGCGCTCGGGCAGGAGGAGGTGGTGAACGCGATGGGAGGCGTGCGGACGAACGTGCGGTATAAGAAGCCGAAAGCGCGAGGGCCGAACCCGCTGAGCGTGAAGAAGAAGAGCGAGAACAAGAGGAGCGCGACGCGCGAGGGCGGCGGCGGGGGGGGAGGGGAAGGGGATGGCGGCGCGAAGAAGAAGAGGAAACGCCGCTGACGACGACGACGACGACGCGTTTTCGAGACGCCAATAAGATAGCACGCGCCGCGCGCGTAGTATCGCGCGCGTTCGTAGACGTATACAATCGCAGAGACGACGCCCGCCCGCCGCGATGGACGACGCGCAAACCACGAGTGCGCGCGCGTCGTGGACGTCCGTCCGTCGTCCACATCTCGTCGTCTTCTCTCGACGACCTTCGCTCGCTCAGGGCCGTTCTATACAAGCGGACGTCGGGGTGGAGTTGAAAGGCGTCAGTTGGCGTTGAAAGGCGCCGAGGGCGGGTATTGAAAGCGAGGGGTGGGCGGAGAGAAACGACGGTTAACGTCCTTAAGGATCGGCGTTCACCACGCCAACGCGGTCGTATGGGGACCAGTGTATAGAACGCACCTCACGCCTTCTCGGCGTCTTTGAGCAAGTCAACGAGGTTCGCGTCTTCGCGGGGGCCCTTCTTCCGCCCGTCCATCTTCCCGGTCAGGAAACGCTTCACGCCGGAGGTCATGCTCTTGTACTTTGGCGTGTCCGGAGGCGACGGCGGCGAGCTCGCGCGCGCTTGGCTCGGCGCGACGCGCTTGAACGCGAGTCGTTCCTCGAGCTCGAGCTTCCGCGCGCGGAGCGTTTTTTTCTTCGTTTGCGCGGCGTCGTCGTCCGACGGCGGCGGCGGCGCGATCCCGAGCTTCGCGAACGCGAGCGTCTCCGCGGCGCACACCGCGCCCGCGGATAACGTCTCCACGCTCTCTAACGACGCGACGTCCAAGCCGACGCCGCGCGCGAGCGCTTGAAGGACGTCGGCTTGGAGATGAAATTTAATCTTCAACCGCGCGGTCGCGATCGGCGACGCCCGCGCGCTCGACCTCGGCGCGCGCAACTCGAAATCGCGCTCCGTGCCGTCCGCGCCCAAGAACGCATCCTGGAGCACCGCGGACGCGTTCACGCTGACGCTCGCGAGGAGCGGCGGGCCGTCGTCGTCGATCGGCGCGTCCGCGCGCGCGTCTCGAATCTCGAGATGCAGCAGGTCAGAGAGCGATCGCAGCTGGAACCCGTGCCACGGCTCCGGCCCCGCGTCCGCGCCCCATCGCGTCCGCAGCGTCGACCCGTCCGGGAGCTCCGCGACGTCCGCGGGGAGGCGCGTCGCGTTCACCGAGAGCGACAGCACGCCGATGCCGTTTCTCTTCGCGCTCATCGATCGCGGCGGCGCGCGAGGGGGGGGGGATCGATCGCGCGGCGGCGGCGCGGGATGGACTCGCGCGCCGGGAGATGGGCGCGGGGGATGACGCGGGTATCGCGGAGCGCGCGCGCGCGCCGTGGAGTGCGCGCCGCGCTCGAGCGAGGAGGATCAGGGAGACGAGTCGTAACGCTCGGAGGAGACGACGGGCGTTGTCATCGCAATGATCGCGTTTCTGTTTTTCGAAGTTCAACGGACTCGACTACCGCGTGCGGTACGCGTACTCTCCTCACGCGGTGCGACGGTAAAAGTACAGGTACCCCAGGTCCAGCGGCACGTTCGCGCTCTTCGCAACCTTGCGATCGTTGAATATGCACCACGTCCCGTCCACGAGGACGTGCGCGACGTAGTGCCCGCACGCGGTGTTGGATCCGAGATGCGACACGACGCCGAAGAGTTCGTATCTCCCGACGCCGTCGACGACGGGAGACTCGGGGGGAGAAACGCCTCCTGATGAGCCGTTACCAACGCCGTTCCCGTCGTCGCCACCGCCGCTCATGACCTCCGCGCACGCGGCGTCGAGGTCGTCCGAGTGCGAGAAGAGCCAGTCCGCGGCGCGTTCGACGTCCCCGCCCGAGCGCTTCAGCGCCGCCGTCGCGTGCACGTCCGCGAACCCCATCGACGTCAGCATCATCAGCGACTCCGGATTGGTTCCCACTACCGATGCTGGTGACGTGGCGGCCGCGGATTGGGCGGACGTAACCGCCGTAGGCGGGTCGTTGAAGTCCGCGTCCTCCATGTGCGCGAAGACCCACTCCATGGCGCCGTCGGCGGAGACGTTGTTCGTCGCGATCGCCGCGCGTTTCGATCCGTTTTCGCTGAACCCCATCGACACGAGCTGCGCGACGATCTCCGCGCTGGGTTCAACGGTCGTCGTCGTCGTCGTCGTCGTCGTAACGGTCGCAGAAGACCCGTTTCCTTTCCCGTCAGCAGCAGCCTCCGCGCTCGCCGGTCCCTCCGGGTCTGGCAACGGCGTCTCCCCCGGCTGCATCCCGCGGCCGCGAAGCGAAGACTCCAAGTCCATCGTCGTCGGCATCGGCACGAGCGCGTCGAGCTTCTTCGCGGTCCAGTCCTCCGCGACGTAGTACCTCCGCACTTGCACCGCGAGGACGTTCGGCATCGTCTTCATGCGCGTCGTCTTCGACGCCGTGCCCTTGCGACCGAGCGCGGTGCTGTAAAAATCGTCCACGAGCTCCGGCGCGGCGATTTTAGCGACGCACGCGTCGAACGGCACCACCGGCCGCACCGGCTCTTCGTCGTCCGCCTTCTCTTTTCCGCCGCCGCCACCGCCACCGCTCCCCTCCGAAGACGTCTTCTGTCGCTTCAGCTCGCGCTCCTTGAACTCGCTCACCGCCGCCGCGTTCGTCGCCGACTCGACGGGGACGTCCAGAGGCAGCACGTTATCTCTCCGCGTGACATATCGCACCGCGCCGCTCTCGACGCACGTCGTCTTCTCCTCGACTTCAAACTCAAACTGCGACGCCGTCGGCGGCGCGTCGCCCAGGCGCGCCTTCGCCTTGTGCTCTTCCCTGGTCATCTGCTCGAGGAGGTGCTGAAAGAACTCGACCGCGTCTTGCTGCCTCCCCGTGCTGAACTCCGCGTGGCCTCTGCCGACGAGGTTCTTGAACATGCGCGGGTTCACCGCCGATTCATGCGCGCCGGCGTTCACCGCTGATTCCGCGCTCGCGTACTTGTCCGTGACCAACCCTACGCACAGCTTGCTCATCTGCGCGGGAAAGTCGCACGTGACGTCCGCGGGCGCGCCCCTCGCGAGGTCCATCGCGGGCGCGACGTACCGGTCCACGACGGCGGGGAGCGTCTTCAAGACCTGCGCGACGGACGCGACGTAACACGTGTTCCCGAGGTTCGCGAGCCCGACTAAGTTGGGCCCGCTCACGGACTCGAGCTCCGCGCCCGATTCGGTGATCTTGTCGAACTCGAACCCTTTGTTCAGGTCGATCTGCAGCTCCGCCATGGACTTCTCCGTCTTCTCCATCGTCATGACGTCGATGCCCCAGTGCGAGAGGTGCTCCGCGAGCAGCGGGTCCTCGACCATGTCGTCCTTGTGGAGTAGCACGGATGGATTTTGTGGAACGCGATGGGAGGATTGGTCAGCGATACGTTCGTGGATGACGTGTCATTGTATTGCCCACACGTTAGGTAGAAGAATAACGCGTTGGATATGGTGTGTTTATGTCGAAATGGGTATCCGCGCGCGGTGACGCCGCGCACCTCGTCCGGCGCGTAGGAGTAGACGTCGGCGCCCGAGGGGGCGATGGTGCCCAGCTTCACGACGAGCGGGTACTCCTTCCCCTTCGCTCGCATCTCCTCGTAGTGCCGCAGCGCGCTGCCGTTCCCGCCCGAGCCGTCCCAGTGCTGCCGTCCGCTGCCGATGTGCCCGTCGCCGAGGTTCAGCCACAGGTTCTCGACGGCGCCGGTGTCGACGCAACGCCAGCTGGACTTGTCCGGGGAGATCTTCCGCCCCTCGCTCGGCTCCTGCGTCAGCGTCCGCGCGTACTTGCTCTCGCGCCGCTCCTCGCTCCACGCGGCGACTTCCGATTGGTCGTGGAACCCCGCGTGCCGCAACACGCCGTCGACGGCGTTCAGCACGACCGTCGGGAGGTCGTCGCACGGGAGAGAGACGAAGGTCTTCGTCGGCATGACGACGAGCGAATGATGCTTCGCGACGTCGTACTTCGCGGCGTCCTCGTCGAGGGCGAACCCGCCCTCGACGCCGATCGCCATCTTCGTGGGGACCGCCGCGGCCGCGGCCGCGGGCTTCGGCGTCTTGACCCATCGCTGATGGAGGTACAGGACGTTGCCCGTCTTTTCGTGATCGAGCGCGAGGTGCGCCTCGCCGACGCCGTGGTGCGTGGAGAGGTTTACGTACAGCCCCGTCGGGGACAGCGGCGTGTCGTAGCTGTACACGCACTCGTCCTGCGATCGAAGCGCGGAGGGGGCGGGCGTGAGTCGACGCGCGCGCCAGATCTCGAGGAGGGAGGGTGCGGAAGCGAACGTTCGATCGGTTCTCGATCGAAAAGCGACGCGACGCGGTCGAGCGACGCGCACCTTGTAGACCTTATCGTACGCGCCCGGGGTCTTCGCGGTCATCATCGCCGCGCGCACGGCGCTCAGCGTCGCCTCGTCCATCGCGTCGAAATATCCGAGGGAGGAGGGAGGCGGCGGCGTGTTGTGTCTGCCGCCTTTGGCCTGCGGGACTGACTTTTGAGTGCCGTTCCCGCGCAGTGTTTCGTGTGACGGCCAATTCATAGGGCTACAAAATATGTTCATCGGTGAGTTGAAAGGGGAAACGATCACATATTGAAACCGAGCGGTGGGTGAAAAACGCGACCGAGAAACGGCAGGCGCGTGAAAATCCTTCACGCACTACGACGCGCCGCGGCTTCATCACTCTCTCCCGCGCGCCCCGACGAAGCCGTCGCGCGTCGATGGGGTGCTGCGACCCCGCGACGTCGGGAGACGGCGGCGGAGGATGCGCCCCGCCGGCCGCGAGGGCCGACGACGCCGGCGCGGGGCCGACGCGCGCGCCGCGCGGCGACGCGTCCGCGTCCGCGTCCGCGTCCGAAAATAATGGAATATTCCACCCCCCGCTGCATCTCCGTCGCATCCAAGACGCGGACCTCACCGGCAAGGTCGTCCTCGTGCGCGTGGATCACAACTGCGTGAAGGGCGGGCAGCTCAAAGACGCGTTTCGCGTCGACGCGTCGCTCGCGACGCTGTACAACATCGTCGAGCGCGGCGGACGACCCATCCTCATGTCGCACGTGAACCGACCCAAGGACAAAAAGACGAAGCGCGTCACCGTCGACGACGCCGACGCCGTCGCCGCGGTCGCGCGCTACCTCACGCGGAAGCTCGGCGTCGTCTTCGCGTGCCCGGAGTTCCGCGTCGTCGACGGCGACGGCATCGTGGACATCGACACGAGCGTGAACTGGCTCATCGAAGACTTGCGCGCGCGACGCGTCGGCGGCGTGTATTTACCCAACACGAGGTGGTTCCTCGGCGAGGAGGCGGGCGAGGGGTCCGAGGCGGCCACGCGGTTCGCGACGCAGCTCGCGGGCCTCGCGGACGTCTTCGTGAACGACGCGTTCGGGTCGTGGCAGCCGCACGTCTCCACGCTCGGCGTCGCCAAGTTTTTGCCCTCCTACGCGGGATTGCTGATGCAGCGAGAGTGCGAGGCGCGTTCTATACACTGGTTCCCGTACGACCGCGTCGGCGTGGTGAACGCCGATCCTTAAGGACTTTTCCCGGCGTGTCTCTCCGCCCAGGGTCCCTCGATTTCAATCCCCGCCCTCGGCGCCTATCAATTCCACCTGACGCCTTTCAACTCCACCCCGACATTCGCTCGTATGGAACGACCCTGAGGCGCTCGACGCGTTGATCTACCCGACGCGGCCGTTCGTCGCCGTGATCGCGGGGTCCAAGCTCGACACGAAGATCGGCACGATACGCGCGATCGCAAAACGCGCGGACGCCGTGATCCTGGGCGGACAGCTGTACAACGCGTACGTCGCGGCGAAGCACGGCGTGACCATCGCGGGCGTCGACGCGGAGGACGTCGAGCTCGCGCGGCGGGAGCTTCTGGCGCCGGAGATGGAGGCGAAGCTGGTTTCGCCGGAGACGGTCGTGGAGAGCGAGACGCTGGACGGGTGCGGGTGCGTCCCCGTCGACGGCGAGTGCGTCAGCGTCGTCACCCCCTCCATAAGAAGGTCCGTGGGGAGCAGGGACGACGCGAAGCGGTTCGGGCCGGTGCGGCAGCGGCGCGTGAAGGACCTGACGGCGGGGGAGACGTGCGGGTATTTTTTGGACGTCTCGCGCGAGTCGTTTCGCGACGGCTCCCGCGTCGCGAAGGCGATCGAGGGCGCGTCCACGATCTTCGTGAACGCGGTCGTGGGGTTGACGTCGTCCGGGTTCAACGAGGGCACGAGCGCGTTGGACGCGGCGGTGGCTGCCAACGTCGGAGCGCGGAAGTATTTCGGCGGCGGCGACACGCTTCAGGAGTTCAAGTCGCTCTCGCCCGGGCTGTTTCTCAGCGCGCTGGACGATCCGAAGTTTTACCTCTTCACCGGCGGCGGGACGGTTTTGAAAGCGCTCGCGATGGGCGGCGCGGGAGAGCTCGAGACGGTCAAGGCGCTAAGGATGAGCGCGGCGGAGATCGAGCGGGCGCGGGGCGGCGCGGACGGGAAAGGCGCGGCGTCGGAGGCGCCGCGGTGCATGCGGCTCTCGTCGTGCGACTGCGGGTGAGGGCCGTTCTATACAAGCGAATGTCGGGGTGGAGTTCAAAGGCGTCAGTTGGCGCTGAAAGGCGCCGAGGACGGGGATTGAAAGCGAGGGGTGGGCGGAGAGAGACGACGGCAAAAGTCCTTAAGGATCGGCGTTCACCACGCCGACGGGGTCGTATGGGAACCAGTGTATAGAACGCACCTGAGGATTCGCGAAGAGGGCGAAGAAGACGACTGGAAGAAGAGAGAGACGAAGGACGGAACGGACACGCGCGGACGAACGAAACGAAACGACGGGACGGGAGGGATTCTTTCAGCGTGTGATGAGTCAAGACGCGAGGCGTCGGTGTACCAACGTTGTAGCGACTACGTGTACTGATGAAACGCGCCTCTTCTTCGAAAGTTTCGAATAAACGACGCGACGCGACGGGAGTCACCATCCTTGCGTTCATCACCGCGGCGCGAGATCTCGTCGCACTCCGCGACGCGCGTCGTCATGGCGTTCTTCGGTCTGGACGGGTACGGCAGCAGCCTGTCCGACAGTAGCGACGTGGAGGACGTGGAGTACGACGAGCGCGGGGAGATCATCGTCAAACCGAAGGCCGCGGCGACGAGGGACGAGCCGCGCGGGGACGATGACGACGAGAAGGATGACGACGACGACGACGCCGCGAGGGACGACGCGCCCGCGCCCGCGCCCGCGCCCGCGCCCGCGCCGAGGCCGAAGACCTCGCTCCTCCCGTCGCTCGCGGAGGCGTTCGACGCCGTGAAAGGCCCGCCCGCGTTCATCACCGCGACCGCGGCGAAGCGAAACGTGACGTGGAATCCCGCGCACGTCGCGTCCGTCGCCGAGGCGGCGCGCCGACGCGGCGAGGCGGCCGAAGATCGCGACCGCGCGGTCCACGACGCGGGGAAGCGCGCGGCCGCGAGCATCTCGAGCGCGCCGAAGAAGTACCGCACGGACGAGTACATCGCGATGCGGAGGGAGCGGGAGGAAGAGGGGGGCGCGGCCGCGCCGTCCGCGGCCGCGATGGCGCTGTACGGCGCGTCGACGACGGCGGCGACGTCTTCGAAGAAAGCGTCGGCGTCGGGGGGGCAGCCGGACGTGCCGTCGGAGCCGACGCGCGGGATGGACGTCGCCGCGTTCTTGGCCGCGGGGCCCGGCGGCGCGCGGCTGCCGAGGAAGAAGGGCGGGAACGACAGGATGGCGGACGAGAGGAGGAAGCGCGCGGCGGGGCAGAACGGCCGCGACAGCGTCGAGTGGAAGTCGGAAGCGGAGATGGCGCTCCGTCAGCAATACGACTCGTAGCGAAGCGAAGTGAACGCACGGCATCCATGCGTTTCTTTTTTGCTCGCGCACGTCACGTCTTCTAGAGTTCTACTACTGAATATCAAGATAGGTTTAGAGTGCTAGCTAACGAACCAACTGAACGGAGGCGTCACCCGCGGTCGTCGTGCCGCGCGCGAATCTCCGGAGGAACCGAGACGCCCTTCCCGACGCGGCCCCACGGCTTGTCCGCGGCGCACGACGACAGCTCCCACAGGTTAGCGTGCAACCGCCTCTGCGCGTTGTCAATCTCCTGGACGTGCTGCGAGCTCTCTTGGAGAAGCACCCCGGTCTGCGTCATGTAGTTGTCCGCGCTCTCGCGCGCTTTGGCGAGCTCGACGCGCGCGGCGCGACGCGCCGCGACGACGACGAGTTTGGATGCAAACTTTTTTTGCGTCGCCGAGCGCGGCGGCGGCGGCGCGACGTCGACGCGCGTCGTCGTCGTGGGGTTCGGGTTTAGGGTTTGGGTTTTGGCGAGCGCGGCGAGCGTCGTCGCGTCCGACGACGCCCCCGGCCCCGGCCCCGGCGCGGCGGCGTCTAAACCCTCCGACGCGAGGTCCTCTGGGAGGATCGGACGCGTCGCGTCGTCGCTTCGCTTCGGCGACGCCGGCGGCGTGTCGCGCGGCGTCGCGATCGGGGACGCGAGCGCGCGGAGGTCCTCCTCCGTCGGGCGCGCGGCGGTCTCCGGGGCGTCGTGCAGCCACGAGTCCTCGTCCTCGGACTCCTGCGCGCGTTCGAGCGATCGCGACGACGGATGGATGGGGCGCGGGCGCGTGAGTCGAGATGCGAACGGCGTCGGAAGCGGGACGGAGGGAGGTGGGGACCGCGCGCGGGGGGGGTGGGGGGGGGGGGTGGAGGGCGCGGGAGCGTCGACGCGGGCGCGTACCTCGGACTCCTCGCCCACGTACACCGCGCTCTGCATGGCGCGTCGCGGCGTCGGGGCCGCGCGCGCGAGACTGACTCAGATCGCGTCGACTTTTACGAAATCTTGAGAACAGCCCGTTTCAATCGTCATCGATCGTCAGTGCGAGATGCACCGCGGAGGGTGGGACACGTCCCAGCGCGATCCCCCCCACTCGCAGGCGATGCACGGGTACGGGGACTCGACGACGCCCACGCGCGGCGGCGGCGGAGGATGGGGAGGAGGAGGAGGAGCGGGAGCGGGAGCGGGAGCGGGAGGGGGCGGGCAAGGCCAACACCACCACCGTCACCATCAGCATCGCTCGCCCGGGCACCCGACGCCGTCGCCGCGGTTCTCGCCGCTCTCGCTCGCGGACGAGCCGTCCGGCCCCGAGGGCATCACCGCGATGGCGATCGCGGACGCCATCTTCGAAGAGATCGCGAGCGGTGGCACGGAGACGCGCGCGCCGGAGTTGACGGACCGCCATCTGGAGATGCTCGCGTTCGTCTTCAAAGAGCAGCACCTCGGCAACGCGCTCGAGCTCGTGCAGGCGGGGAAGGTGAAACGCCTCGTCGCGGAGCGTTCGGGGCGCGCGTGTTACCAAGTCAAAGGTAAGTCGTCCTCGCGGAAGGGGAGCGAGGAGGCGTACTTGTGTTTTCCCGAGCACTACTGCAGCTGTCGCGCGTTCCAATGGGACGTTCTGACGCGCGGCGAACAGCTCATCTGTAAGCACCAGCTCGCCGCGCGCATCGCGGACGCGACGGGCGCGCACGTCGTCAGCGTGGTGTCGGACATTTTGCTCGCGCAGCTGCTGGAGTCGTACGCGCGCGGGGACGTCGGCGACGGGGGGGGGAGAGGCGGAGGGCCGCGAGGAAACCGGCGATGGGGCGGCGGCGGAGGAGGAGGAGGAGGCGGAGGAGGTGGAGGAGGAGGACGGCAGCCGCCGCCGACGTTTCGATGAGAGAGAGGGGACCCGCGACCCGCGACGCGAGATGACGACTAGAACGAATAGAACCGATGCGACGACGACATCGACGACATCGACGACATCGCGACGCGCGGATGCGAGGCGAGCTATCTTCTCCCCCCGCGCGCGTCGAACGTCCTCCCTCCGCCGCCGGTGCCCTTCTTCCCTTTCAGCGACGCCTTTTTCGGCGCTCGAAAGTCCAACGCGCCGCCGCCGTTCTGTCGAGGTGGAGCGCGAGGGCGCGTCAGAAGCGGAGTCGCGAGGCGTCGGGGTCGAGCGTCGAGAGCGACGAGCGGGCGGGCGGAGAGAAACGAGCGCGCCGCGGGTGATGAAAGTCCTTAAGGATCGGCGTTCACCGCGCGAACGCGGTCGTACGGGGACCAGTGTTAACAGAACGCGCCTCGACGAGCTCCGGATACGCGACGTACGACACCACGAGCTCCCTCAGCTGCGCGATCGTGTGCTGCATCGCGTTTAACTTCCTGTCGCGGAACATCGCGGGGAGGTTCGTCTCCCCGTGCTTCGCCACGAGCGCGCCGACGATCCGTCGCTGCTTCGTCGTGAGTCGCTTGGGCGGCGCGAATCCGGTGCTTCGCACCTCGCCCATCGCGCCTCGGACCTCGTCGCCTCCCACGGTGGCGCGCGCGGCGACGGTGCCGTCGTCGTGTTCGCCGCCGTCGCCATTACCGCCGCCGGCTCTCTCCTCGCGTCTCTCGACCGCGTTCCGTCCCGTCTTCCCGATCTTGTTCGGATCGCTCGCGAGCCCCGCGGCGGCGTAGTTGTGTTGATGCGTCGTGTCCTCGTTCCACGCCGTCGCGTCGACCGCGCCCGGGAGGAGGACGGGCGCGACGGTGACCTTCTGCGACGTCTTCTTCACGCGCCCCACCTTGACGGTCTTCTTCCCGGACTTGCTCTTCGCTCGCTTCTTGCGTCGCAGCGACGAGCCCATGGTCGTCGGCGGGTGGGGACGTCCGCGGCGCGCCGCCCCGGGTCAGACGCAGACGCGTCCTTCGAAGCGCGGACGAATGAATGGAATCAGAGTACTCCGCGGACGAGGCGGCTCGGTCCCGCGCTCCCACTCGAGCTCGAGGCGGCCGCGCGCGCGCGACGCCGGGGCTCTTCCGCGGCGGCGCGATGGATCGGCGGGACCTCCGTGCCTCGCGCGGTGCGCTCTGCGCCCGTAGCGGCGGCGGCGGCGGCGGCGGCGGCGTTCGATTTCGGCGCTCTCGGAATAAGCGCCGACCGCAACTTCGATGAAGGTGGCCGTTACGCGAAAATCTCCAGCATCACTCGTTGACCGCGCCGCGGGGGCGCGCGTCGTCGAGGTCGTCATGGACTTCGACCGCGACGAGCTGTGGGAGGCGACCAGGGAGGACCGCCTGCGAAGATGGCGGAGCTACCCGGAGGGCCTTCACGAGCCCGAGGCGAAGAAGGTGTTTCAGGACGACTCCCCGACCGAGGCGGACGCGTTCTTGGCCTCGCCGAAGAAGCGCCGGATGCGACGACGGCGCTTCTTCGAGGAGGACGACGACGCGGCCGCCGAGGCGAGCGACGACGCCGCGTCCTCCTCCGACGCGAGCGACGACGACAGCCTCTCCTCGCCGTCGTCGTCGCGGTCGTCCGAGTGGATCACGTCGGACGGCGGGACGCGGTTCCGATGGGAGTACGCGACGCCACCCTTCGAGGACGGCGTCGCGATGGGCGCCGAGTGGGAGTGGGAGTCCGGGAGCGACTTCGACGACGCGGACGCGGACGCCGCGGAGGACGACGACGCGCCGGCGACGACGCCGACGCCGCCGAGGACGCCGTCGCCGACGAAATCGGAGCTCTACGCGATCGAGGCGGCCAAGCACGCGCCCGGGGACGCGCGCGAGCCGCGGCGTTCGCTATCGCTCGACGACGACGAAGACGAAGACGACGCGAGAAGAAGAAGGAGAGCGCCTCCGGTCGGGAAAAAGCTCCTCGTTGTCGTGCGCGCCGTGCGCGGCGACGTCCTCGCCGAGATCGGCTCGTCGTTCTTCGTCGCGGTCGAGGCCGGGCGCGACGGGTCGCGTTTCTGCGAGGTGACCGAGCCCGCGGCGGTGGCGCCGCGCGACGCGCCGCGAGGGACCCCGAGCGTCGTCCCGGGTGCGTTCGCGTTTCTCTCCGGTCGCCCCTCGCTTTCGATCCCGACGCGCATCGACGCCCGCCTCGCGACTCCAGCTGACGCGCCCCCGAACTCCCTCCGCCCCGACGTCTGTCGCCTCGCGCGGACCCTCGACCCTCGACCCTCAGTCGTCGTCGGCGCGGATCCGTTGGAGATTGTCTTCGACGACGACGACGACGACCGCGACGGCTCGAACTCGAACTCGAACTCGACGTCGAACGACGACGACGCCATATCGCTCACCGTGATCCTCGAGCGCGCCGCCGACGGCGCGGAGGTCGAGGTGGCGCGCGCGTCGATCGCCGCGAGCGCGATCGAGGAGGATCTGAACGACGGCGGGGCGTGGTCCGCGACGCTCGCGTCCGAGGCGGGCGCGTGGCTAGAGACGAAGACGCTCGCGTGGGGCGTCGAGGACGGCGACGTCGACGTGCGCGTCTCGATGACGCTGAAACCGCGCGACTTCACGCCGAAGGCGCGCGCGAGGAGGGAGCTGACGCGCGCCTCGCGGGAGGTGCACGTCGCCGCCGCGCGCGCGCTGAGCGAGGCGGCGATGCGCGGCGCGATCGAGCGCGCGGCGGCGGCGGCGGCGGCGGCGAGGGCGACGGATCCGAAGGCGACGTTCGACGTGGACGCGGCGGCGCGCGTCGCGGTCTTAGGCGCGTTCTTCTCACACTGGTCCCCATACGACCGCGTTCGCGTGGTGAACGCCGATCCTTAAGGACTTTCGATCCCCGCCCTCGACGCATTTCAACTCCGCTTCTGACGTCTTTGAACTCCACCCCGACGTTCGCTCGTACGGACCCTCGACCCTCAGACGACGACGACGATTACGACGACGACGACGGCGACGGGACGATGACGCCTCTCGCGCGGGCGGCGTCTCGACCGACGCGCGCTGGGGCGGCGTGCGCGCGCGCGCTCGTGGACGCGGGGGCGAGCGTGACGGTCGCGTGCGGGGCGTCGGGATGCGCGCCGCTGCATCGCGCGGCGGCGTGTAACGCGGACCGAGTCGCGGAGGTGCGTTCTATACACTGGTCCCCATACGACCACGTTGGCGTGGTGAACGCCGATCCTTAAGGACTTTGCCCGGCGCATCTCTCCGCCCATCCCTTGCGTTCAATCCCTGCCCTCGGCGCCTTTCAACTCCATCTGACGCCTTTCAACTCCACCCCGACATTCGCTTGTATGGAACGACCCTCAGGTGCTCCTCGCGCGCGTCGACGGCGTCGCGCTCGACGCGCGCGACGCCGGCGGTCTCACGCCGCTGCACGTCGCTATCGTGAACGGCGCGACGGAGACGGCGATCGCGTTGATTCGTAACGGCGCGAGCGTGGACGTTACCTCGGGGGGACCCGGGGCGGGCGGCGGGAACTGGGACGCGCTCGCGCACGCGGCGCGCGTCGGCGACGAAGCCGTCGTCGCCGCCGTTCTGGACGCGAACCGACGCGCCGCTTCGAATTCCACGGAGACGGTGACGACCACGACGCCGCTGCACATCGCGGCGCGGCGCGGGCACGCCGCGATCGTTCAGACGCTGCTCGACGCCGGCGCGGACGCCGGCGCGGTGGACGCGTTCGGCTCGACCGCCGCCGCCGCCGCCGCCGCGTCGGGACACCACGCGATCGCGACGCTTCTCTCCGCGCGCGGCGGCGACGAGCGCGCGAACGCGAACGCGAACGCGGACGCGGACGCGGACGCGGACGCGGACGCCGGCGGCGAGCGGCGCGACGAGCCGCGCAGCGCGCTGGAGTGGGCGGCGTACGAGGGAGGCGAGGCGAACGTCCGAGCCGCGATCGCGGCGGCGGATGAAAAAGTGAGGTGCGTTCTATGTCACACTGGTTCCCATACGACCGCGTCGGCGTTGTGAACGCAGATCCTTAAGGACTTTGCTCGGCGCATCTCTCCTCCCACCCAACGCTTTCAATACCCGCCCTCGGCGCCTTTCAACTCCATCTGACGCCTTTCAACTCCACCCCGACGTTCGCTCGTATAGAACGGCCCTGAAGACGTCTCGCGTCGTCGCGGCGCCGTCGCCGTCGCCGGCGCGGCGCGCGCTCGCGAAGAAGCTCGAGGCGCGCGCGGAGAGGGACGTCGGGAGAGCGGTGATGATCGCGGACACGCGGCAGGTGGCGCCGCGCGTGCGGTTGGCGCTCAAAGAGCGCGCGGCGCGGGTAGGAGGGTGAATAGGCTCTATCTAGACGGAATAAAATAAATAGCGTCGTCGATGTCGTCGAGCACATCTGACGACTCTTGGACGCACCTCTTGGACGCGACGAGGCCAGTGGATCAAAAAAGGAATTGGAATCGAATCCACAGCGTCGCCCGCGGGCCCGCCCGTCGCCAGAGCAAGCGCGCGAGAGACGCACGCGCTCGTTCCGATCGCGCCCGCGTACCGCGCGCGCGCGCGACCGACGCGACCGACTTCACCCTCCGCGCGCGGCACGACGCCGGATCCGCGTCCGTCATGAGCGCGAATCCCGCCGCCCCGGGGCCCGCGAAGAAGACGTCCGATCCGAATTCCCAATTCAAGACGGCCGATCACCAAGCTTCTCGCCCTCCGCGCGCCAAGTCGAAGAGGACGCCGTTCGTCCCGGAGGAGACGGGCGCGTACGGCGAGAAGCCGAAGAAGGAGAAGTTCGTCGTCCCGGACATCCCGGCGCGGTTCGCGCCCGCGGCCGCGTCGTCGTCGTCCTCGTCGTCGGATACGGAGGACGACGACGCGCGAATGGCGAGGGAGGCGAGGCGGCGACGGTCCGAGCGCATCGCGGCCGCGAAGGCGAAGGCGGCCGCGGAGGCCGCGATCCCGGACTTCGAGAAGCTCCACCCGGAAGCCGCCGCGGCGAAGGCGAAGAGAGAAGAAGAAGAAGAAGAAGAAGAAGAAGCGGCCGCGTCCGCGTCCGCGGCGAATCCGAAGGCGCTCTCGAAGAAGAAGTCCTCCAAGATCGCCGAGGCGCGCGCGCTGCTCGAGGCGGAGGCGGAGGCGGCGAGGAGAGCGGCGGCGCCGCCGCCGCCCGTCGTCGTCTCCGACTTCACGCGCGAGATCTTCTCCCTCCTCGACGCCGACGGCGACGGCGTCATCACGAACGACGCGCTCGCGGACGCGCTCGCGGAGGATCCCACGCTCGCGCACACCCTCGGCGTCTCCGCGGCTTCGAACTCTCCGAGCTCCGCGGCGGCGCTAGAAGAATTCTACGCGTCTCTGCGCGATACGGGATCGCACCCGCTGACGCTCGAAGAGTTCGCCGCCGCGTTCGGCGCGCACGTTGACGAAGCGCACGACGCCGCGCTCGCGATCGTCGAGAGCGCGCGCGCGAAGGCTGGCGGGTTGAACGATCCGTCCGGGCAATCCGCGGACGCGAACGCGCCGCCGGTGTTTCTCACCGCCGCGGCGGCGAGGACGTTCAACCAGATCGATAAGAACGGCGACGGCGTCGTCACCGTGCGCGAGCTCATCATCGCGCTGCGCGCGGACGAGTCCCTCGCCGTGACGTTGGGGCTCGTGTCCGGGAAGGTGCGGCAGGAGGACGGCACTCGAGACGCGCTGCTCGCGTTTTTCGACTCGCTCGACGCCAACGGCGACCGCGAGCTCACGATGGAGGAGTTCGCGGCGGTGTTTTGCGCGGACGTGAACGCTCCGCGGTCGAGCGTTTCGTTGCCTAACGGTAACGGCGGCGTGATGATCCCGCCGGCGAGCCCGCCGCGGCCGAACGAGCACCACGCGCCGCGCGACGAGTGGCTCTTGCCGTCGGAGATCACGCGCGCGGGCGCGTCGGCGGAGGCGGCGGTGAAGAATTTGAGCGCGCGCGGGACCCCGGCGCGCGCGACGTCGCCGACGTCGACCGCAAAGCGCTCAGATTACGCGCTGGTCGCGCCGTCCGTGATGTCCGATATGATGGGGGACGGGGACGAGAGCGACCCTGATTCGTCGAGCGGCGAGGATGAAACCGTGGAGGAGATTTTCGCGCGGCTCGACGCGGACGGCAGCGGCTCGCTCAGCGTCGAGGAGCTCATCTTCGGGTTGCGGTCGGACGCCACGCTCGCGAAGAAGATGGGGCTGTCGCGTCACAACATCACGACGAAGGAAGGGCACCAGGCGCTGGAGTCGTTCTTCAGAGCCTTGGACGCGAACTCGGACCGCGAGCTGTCTCTCGACGAATTTCGGATGGTATTCGGCGCGGGCGGCGCCGGGAAGACGCCCAAGCCTTCCGCCGCGGCGAAGCAGTCCGCGAAGAATAAGAAGGCGATGAACGCCGAGCTCGGCGGCATGCGCGCGGAGCTGGACAAGCTGCGCGACATGATGTCCTCGCTGCTCGTGAACCCCGCGGAGACGCAGCTCAACCAGATGCGCGCTCTGCTGGAAGATATCGTCGTCAGGACGTCTCCGGAGAGCAGCGTGAAGACGGCGGCGGACAGTACGAGTACCGCGTACGACGGGTGGGCGCTGGGGACGACCAAGTACAAAAACTACGACGACTACTGCAAGAGCGAGGACTTCAAGAACACGATCATTCGCCCGGCACTGAAGACGCGGTTCTTAGACCCGGCGAAGGACACGAGCCCGTGGCGGCGGTCGCTCAAGAAGAAGGGAAACCCGGCGCCGCGCGGGCGGACGCCGCGGTACGACTGCCCGGAGCCGGAGCCGATGTGCGTGTACAAGTCCAAGTGGCGGGACGGCTTGCGGAACGACGACGGCAAGGGGTACGCGGTTTTGAACACGGGGAAAGGGTATCGGGACCGCGAGCGGTGGAACCGCGAGGATCCGCTCGCGCCGGGCGCGGCGTTCATCCGAGACCGGCGAAACCCGTACGCGCCGACGATGGCTCGGATGAACGCCATGGGCGTCGACCTCGAGACCGCGGAGGCGCTGCGCAAGGTGACCGTCGGCGGCTCCGGCCGCATCTTCTCGAGGGCGTTCACGCGGCTGTACCTCACGCCGCAGACGCGAAGGGAGCTCGAGAAGAACCCGACGGTGAATCCTCCGGGGGTGAAGACGTCGTTCGACGACCTCTACGGCGTCGTCGGCTTATCGCCGTCGAAGCACAAGGAAGACCTCCGTCACAGGGCGGCGATGCAGCCGGTGAGTTTTCATCGCAACGTCGTCGGCGACGACGCGAGCACGATGACGAGCACGCCGAGCGGGGAGCTGTCGAAGTATCCGAGGGAGTTTGGATACGCGAGGGGGTCGGGGGAGAAAAAGACGAGGCTGTTCATCCCGTGAGATGATGATGATGATGAGATTGGGACGTTTGGCGGCGGCGGCGGCGGCGACGACGACGGCGGCGAAGCCGGGGGGGGTCGCGCGCTCGTGCTTTAGGGGGGTGGGCGATTAACGTATTTAACACGGCGTCATCGCGATGACGCGTTGAAATTTATTTTCGCGCGCGCTCTCGATTTGGCACGGCCGAGAATTCATTGAATCATCAATCGTCGTCGCGCCCGCGGACGCGACGGGCGACGGACGATGCCGGGCGACGCGCGCAAGGCGTGCTTCAAGGAGGACGTCCTTCGCGACCTCTTCCTCGCGCTCGACTCGGACGGGAACGGATACCTGTCGTATCAGGAGCTCTGGAACGGCCTGAACGGCGACGACGTGCGATGGGACGACGCCTCGAACGCGGACAAGCGCGCGGTCCTCGATCGCTTGTGGCTCGAGGCGGACAAGGACGGGAGCGATCAGGTCACGTTCGCGGAGTTCTGGCAGCTCATCGCGGCGTCGCGGTCGCCCACGGAGGACGAGATGGCGCGCGCGTACGACTACTTCGTGCGGCTCGACAAGTCCGGTGACGGTGCGCCGCGCGATTACGATTCCTTTCCGCCCACATCTGCGATTCATTCGCCCCGTCCGCCTTCCGTTCTCCCCCGCCGTCGACCCGTTCCTTCCTTCCGTCCGTCCGTCCTCACCCCGCCCGCCCGCGTCGCGTCGCATCGCGTCCGCAGGCTACCTCGACCGACTCGAGATCCAGGAAGGCCTCGCGAACCCGGACATCGACTGGACTCTGCTGGGCTTCGACGAGGGCGTCAAGGAGCGGCATCTGTTTCAGGCGCGTCCCATCTCACACCGGTCCCCATACGACCGCGTCGGCGCTGTGAACGCCGATCCTCAAGGACTTTCGCCGGCGCATCTCTCCGCGCACACCTCGCTTTCACTCATCCCCGCCCTCGACGCCTTTCAACTCCGCTTCTGACGCCCATGAACTCCACCCCGACGTCGCTTTGAATGACGCGACGACCCTCAGCACGCCGACTCGAGCGGCGACGGGCGCGTCTCGTTCGACGAGTTCTGGCAGATGATCCTCACGAACATCTCCAACCGCGAGCGCGCGAGAGCCGCCGCCGCGGCGCAGATGGTCAGCGTGCGCGACGTCGCGGCGTGGGAGCCGTCCGACGTCGGCGCGTGGTTGGACCGCGTGGGGTACGGCGCGTACCGCCCGGCGTTCGAGGCCAACGGGATCCACGGGTACAGGTGCGTTCTATACACTGGTTCCCATACGACCCCAATGGCGTGGTGAACGCCGATCCTTAAGGACTTTGCCCGGCGCGTCTCTCCGCCCACCGCTCGCTTTCAATCCCCGCCCTCGACGCCTTTCAACTCCGCTTCTGACGCCTTTGAACTCCACCCCGACGTTCGCTTGGGTACAGACTGTTGGCGCTGACGTTCGACGCGCTTCCGCGGCTCAGCGTGCGGCAGTTCGACCACTGCCGCGGGATAATGAACGCGATTCGGACGCTTCGGGGGATCGAGCCGGAGATTTTGGAGACGACGGAGGATTGTTACGCGAAGCGCGAGTTCGCGCGCGCCAAGCCGGTGGGGCTCGCTCGAAGATTGCGTTTCGGCGACGAGGGCGCCTTCGCGAGAGAGGAGAAGCGTCTGAACGACGCGTACTCGCGGCCGGCGATGATCATGACCGAGATCGTGTGATGCGAGCGGCGGGCGGCGGAGGCGACGACGCACGTGGGTTGGGTGCATAGCGCGCGTTCTTTCTCGTTAGACTACTTATAGCTAGACGTCCCGTCGAGGTGAACCAAGAAATTTAACTGCGAACAAGAGAAAGTTCGTCGGACGACGCTCGAGGCCGCGGGCGGCGTTCGAACCGTCGTCGTCACTGCCGCGCGCGCCATGGAGGAGCTCACGCAGACCGCGGCGGCGGCCGCGCGGTACCTCGGCAGGGTCGTCTGGGCCGGGCTCGGCGGCGGCGACGACGCCGCGCGGCAGCTGTCGTTCACGCCGCTCAAGGCGCTCGGGAAGCGCGCGCGCGACGCCGGCGCCGTCGCGATGATGCCCGACGGCGGATCTGGCGGGGCCCCGGGATCTGGCGGGGAAGACCGCGCGTCGCGGCGTCGCGCGGCGACGCGCGCGCCCGTGGACCGCGACGGCGGCCGGAGCGGCGTCAGCCGCTTCGCCGCCGAGGCTGGCGCGCGAGGCGCCGACGCCGACGCCGACGCCGACGCCGACGGCGGAGGCGGAGGGAAGCGCCGACGGACGACGTGCGCGCCGCGCGTCGTCGAGCGCGAGAACGCGTTCCGCGTCGGCCGCGCCGCCGCCGCGGCCGTGGTCGTCGACGCGGACGGCGACGGCGACGGCGACGACGTCGACGACGACGCGGAGGACCTGTACCGCGCCGTCGACGAGGACGGTCGCGGCGCGGTCGCGACGCGCGACCTCGTCGCCGCGCTCGAGGCGCGCCCCGAGATGGCGCGACGACTGCGCGGCGTCCGACGAGGAGAAGGAGGAGGGCGATCTCGGGGCGAAGGCGGCGGGGCGGACGCGTGGCGACGATGCCTCGGCGGCGACGACGACCGCGAGCTGACGCTCGCGCAGTTCGTGAAGCTATTCGCGAGGGAGGAGGCAGAGAAGGACGGCGGCGGCGCGGCGAAGGGCCGCCGCGCGCGAGGGGGAGAGGGGGGCGCGACGACGACGACGACGACGACGACGACGACGACGACGCGCGCGCCGAAGCCGACGCCGAAGCGCGGCCCGTTCCCGCACGGCATCCTGAAAGAAAACGTCGCCGCGAGCGAGCGCACGACGTCCGGGAAGCGCAAGCGCGGCGTCTTCGGCGGGTCCAACCGGCGCGATCGACCGTCGCCCGGCGAGGCGGGCGCGGCGGTGCGCTTCAAGGAGGCGCTGGAGGAGGTCGCGGAGGAAGACGACGAGCCCGCGGCGGCGCGGCGGAGGGTGGGAGGGGCGTCGTCTCTGTATCTGGGGGTGGGAACGGCGTCGCCGACGGCGGCCGCCGCGGGGCGCGGCGCGCTGGCGCCGATCGCGAGGAAGAACTACGTCGAGGCGTACGCGCCGCCGGCTATTCCGATGACGCGCGATGTCGAGCTCCCCATCGTCTCGCGTCGCGTGAAGCCGACGTCGTCGCGCGGGCGCGCCGATTCGAACGCGAAGCGACGCGGCGCCGCCGCCGCCACCGCGTCGACGTCGACGTCGACGTCGACGTCGAGGCACCTCGCGCGGACGAGCTTGCGGCTCATACGCGCGGTGAGCCGACCGAGAACGCCGGCGGGGGGCGGGCGAGCGCCGAGGAGCGCTGAGTTGATCGACCCGCCCGAAGACCCGGTCGCGCCGGTCGTCCCGGTCGTCGTCGCGCCCGCGCCGCCCGCGACGGAGGGCGGCGGCGGCGGACTGGGGCTCGCCTTGGTCGCGCCCGCGGCGCCGCTGTCGTTCGGCGGCGGCGGCGGCGACGCGGGCGCGGGCGCGGGTGGGTTTTCTCTCGGCGCGGACGTCGGCGGCGGGAAGAAGAGCAAGCGAGGGCCAAAGGGGAAGGGCGGCGGCGACGAGGACGACTCGATCTTCGGCGCGGCGCTGAAGGAGTTCAGCGCGACGCAGCCTTCCGCGGCGGCGAAGACGCCCGCGGGCGGCGACGCGGCGGCGACGGCGGCGGCGGCGGCGGCGACGACGGCGGCGCCGGCGGCGGCGCCGTCGTTTTCGTTCGGCGTCTCCGCGAGCTCCGCGGCGGCGGCGCCGTCGTTCACTTTCGGCGCGAGCGCGCCGGCGGCGGCGGCCGCGCCCAGCGGCGGCGCGTCGTTCACGTTCGGCGCCGCGCCGTCGACGACGGCGGTGGTCGACGTTCCATCTTCCGGCGCGCCCGGCGCGGCGGGCGGCGGCGGCGGCGCGTTTACGTTCGGCGGCGCGCCCGCGTCGTCGTCGCTCGGCGTCGTGAACCCGTTCGCGGCGGGAGGCGCGCCGCCGCCGGGGGGAGGGATGGCGCTCGGCGGCGGCGGTGGGCCTCCGAACGGCAGGCCTCGCGTCCGCGCGAGACGCCCGGGACGTAGATAGAGAAGAGAGATACCTTTAGACGAGTAGTAACGACGCGACGTAAAATAACAAAAAAATATGATGATCGCGTCGTCGACCCGGTCGTCACTCGCTCGACGCGCGCCCGCTCGGCGACGGCGCCGCGGTCGCATGCGCGATACGTGCGCGCGCGCGACCACGAGGGCGATGCTCCGCGCGTTCGACGCGCTCGCGCCGCAGCGCGCGATGGCGCCGCTCGTCGTCGACCGCCGCGCCCATCATGGGTGCGCCTCGTCGATCTTCGCGAGCGGTCGCGGTCGCTCGCCCGCGCGCGTTCGCGCGTCCTCGTCGTGGACGACGCCGACGACGCTCTTCTCGACGCGTCTCCTCTCCGCGCGTCGCGCGTTGTCGCCGTCGCTCGACGCCGTCCGACGCGTCGCGGACGCGACGCGTCTCGCGCGCGTCGCGTCCGCGGCGGCGACGCGCGTCTCGCGCCGCCGCCTCGCGAGATCGGCGCGCGATTACTACGCGCCCGACGACGTCCGAGTCGGGCACGCGATCGCGTACGTCAAGCGCGACCGCCACGTCCTCGCGGTCGTGACCGCGCCGACGCGGCGGCGACAGGTGGCGGTCGTCACGCACGACGGCGCGAGCGACAAGGTGGAGCTGAAGCACGTCGAGAAGGTGTTCGCGCTGACGACGGAGGATGGAAGGAGGCTGAAGACGAAGCAGATGATGGCGACGCGCGCGTTCGCCACCGCGGAGGTGGACGCGAACGCGAGGGCGGGCGGCGGGGTCGCGCGCGACGCGTGGGCGCGCGTCGTGGCCGCGCGCGCGGGCGACGGCGACGGCGACGGCGACGGCGACGGCGACGGGGATGGGGCGTCGCACCAGCTGGCGCCCATCTCGACGGCGGAGCTCGCGGCGTTCTTCTACCCGGAGGAGGGGTCCGGCTCCGGCTCCGGGTCCGACGACGACGCGAGCGCGAGCGCGAGCGCGAGCGCGAGGCTCGCCGCCGTCGCGGCCAAGTCTGGCGCGCCGCCGTCGTTGCTGCGAGCGTACGCGACGCATCGCGTGCTGAGCGAAGACGCGACGATGTTCAAGGCGATGAGCAAGGGGTTCTACGCGCCGAGGACGCGCGTCGGGATCGAGGCGCGTTCTGACGCCCAGACCGGTCCCCGTACGACCGCGTCGGCGTGGTGAACGCCGTTTCTTAGGGACTTTACTTCCCGTCGTCTCTCTCCGCCCACACCTCGCGTTCAATCCCCGCCCTCGGCGCCTTTCAACTCCAACTGACGCGCCTTTGAACGCCACCCCGACGTCGGTCGACGCTCAGAAACACGCGAGAGCGACGAAGGAGCAGAGCGCCCACGACGACGCGACGCGAGCGATGTGGCGCAGACTGACGGACGCGATCGCGGCGCCGCCCGACGCGAAACCGCCGCCCGACGCGTTCGCGCGCGACGGGTCGCTGCTCGAGCTGCGCGTCGAAGCCCTGGAGGCGTTCGCGCTCGGCGACGGCTTGCACTCGAGCGGGCAAAAAGCGAGCGCGATAGACGCGCTCGATCGATGCGGCATGCGTCGCACGTGGAAGAGCGCGTTCGACCTTCTCGTCGCCATCGGGCGGTGGCGCGGGTACGAGAACCTCGCGATACGGCGCCACGGCATCCCGACCGCGTTCCCCGCGCGCGTCCTGGACGAGGCAGACGCCGTCGAAGCCGCCGCCATTGCCGCCGCCGACGGCGACGTCGACGACGACGTCGACGCGGCGACGCGGAAAGACTTGCGCGGCCGGTTCGACGTCTACGCGATCGACGGCGACGACACGTTCGAGGTGGACGACGGCGTGAGCGCGGAGGCGATGGGTCCCGGGAGCGGCGACGCCATCCGCGTGTGGATCCACGTCGCGGACGTCGCGCGGCACGTGCGGTTGGGTGGCGCGCTGGAGGCGGAGGCACGCGAGCGCGGCGCTTCGGGCTACGCGGTGAGACTGCCTCCCATACGACCCCGTTCGCGTGGTGCACGCCGATCCTTAAGGACTTTTCCCGTCGTCACTCTTCACCCGCGCTTCCCTTTCAACGTTTGACCGGTAAGACGTTCGACTGACCGATCGCTTCACCCACGCAGCCGGATCGCGTCGTGTCGATGTTCCCGCCGCGCCTCGCCGCGGAGACGCTGTCGCTGCGGTTGAACGAGCCGCGGTGCGCGGTGAGCGTGAGCGCGGTGATCGACGCGGACGGCGACGTGCGCGAGTACTGGATCGGGCCGTCCACGGTGACGGTGACGCACGCGATGTCGGACGCCGACGTCGACGCCGCGCTGCGCGAGGATGAGGAAAACGCGGGGAAAACGGGGGCGAAAACGCACCCGGCGTTGGCGTTACTCGTCGAGGCTGCGGCGCGGCGACGACGGCGGCGCGAGCGCGACGGCGCGATCAACGTGGCCACGCCGGAGTGTATCGTGAAGGTTCGGACGCGCGAGGAAGGAAGCGACAGCGACAGCGACAGCGACGGACGGGGGAAGAATGGAGGCGCGCCTCTCAGGTGCGTTCTATACACTGGTCCCCATACGACCCCGTTGGCGAGGTGGACGCCGATCCTTAAGGACTTCGCCCGGCGTCTCCCTCCGCCCACACCTCGCTTTCAATCACCGACCTCGACGCCTTTCAACTCCAACTGACGCCTTTCAACTCCACCCCGACGTTCGCTTGTATAGAACGGCCCTCGGGTTTTTGTCCGAGGACGAGGACGATCTCGACGGCGATCTCGACGGCGGCGAAAAAGGCGGCAACGCCGGCGAACGCGCCGCGAACGCGGTCAGAGCCATGGAAAGCGACGCCATGCGCGTGGAACTCTCGAGACAGGACGCGGACTCGAGATCGAGGCTGCTCGTGAGCGAGATGATGATCCTCGCTGGCGATCTCGCGGGGGCGCTCGGCGCCGAGGAGGGCGTCCCCCTTCCCTACCGGAGACAGGCGCCGCCGAGGGACGACGCGCGCGACCGCGACGTCGTCGACGCGCTCCCGCCCGGTTTGCCCCGCGAGTTCGCGATCCGCGCGACGATGCGCGGTGCGACGCAGAGCTCCTCGCCGGGCCCGCACGCGAGCTTGGGCGTCGACGCGTACGTGCAGTTCACGTCGCCGATCCGCCGGCACACGGATCTCCTCGCGCAGTATCAACTGAAAGCGCACCTGCGCGGCGAGCGAAAGCTCCCGCTGGATAAGGCGCGTATTCCTCACACTGGTCCCCATACGACCCCGTTCGCGCGGTGCACGCCGATCCTTGAGGACTTTCTCTCCCGGCGCGTCTCTCCGCCCATCACCCCTCGCTTTCGATCCCGACACGCCGCGACGCCTTTCAACTCCACCCCTGACGCCTTTCGACTCCACCCCGACGTTCGCTCGTACGGACCCTCGACCCTAAGCTCACGATGGACGCGATGCTGAGGGACAACGCGGACGCGACGCGCGCGCTGCGAAGCGCGATGCGCGCGAGCGACGCGTTCTGGATCACGTACTGGTACGCGAGCCGCCCGGCCGGGACGACGCACCGCGCGACCGTCGCGAAGTGGATCCGACGCCAAGACGGGCTCGCCGTGGTCGTCTTCGACGAGACGGGGCACGAGTCCGCCGCGAAGGTGGACGAGAGGGCGGAGCTCGGGAGCGCGGTGGATTTAGTCGTGATGGAGGCGAACCCGTTCTACGAGCAGCTCAGGTTCGGGATGGCGGAGAAGTGAGCGAAGCGAACGCGTCGTAGCGTATTAATATTTTCGGAGACGGTTGGTCGCGCGTCAGTCGAGCGCTCGCGACACAGTGCGATCGACGTTCGAGATTCGTTTTATTTTTGTGTTTTTACCGTCCGGGACGTTCGTTTCAACGCCCAAACTATTTATCGCATACTGTGATCTCGCGACGGCGAAGCAAAAAGGCGAGTCGTCAGTCACGCCGCGAACTTGATTGGGGTGTGCCTCGCCGCCGAACCTTCTCGAGTTTCGTCGTCAGTCTCGACGCGCGGTACAACACGGGGTCCGTCAGTGTCGAATTTAAGAGACGACGATCGTGCCCTGCATGCCGGCGCCCTGGTGGGGCTCGCAGTAGTACCCGTACGTGCCCGCGACGTCGAACTTGTTGGTGACCTTCTCGCCCGGGCCGTTGAGGTAGTCCTCGTGGGAGATGGCATCCGCGTTGACGCCGGCGGGGACGTTGTCCTCGTCGAAGACGACGTTGTGGGGGAACGCCTTGTTGTTCACGAACTCGACGGTCTCGCCCTTCGCGACGGAGATCTTGTTCGGCTGCGAGGAGAAGAGCGGAGGGAAGAGGACGTCAGCGGGCGGATCGGGCCGACGGATTGATTGATTGATCGTAGGTCGAAGAATTAATTAAACTCGCGGGGTCGTTGCACTGTTTCCTCTCGAGGCGGGGCGGGATGGATTTATCCGCGACGACGTCCGCGACCGGCGATCGCGCGAGACGCGCGGGGCGGGGAGGGGCACGCACGAAGAAGCCGAGCTCGCCGTTGTCGCCGCCGAGCTTGATGGTCGCCGCGAACGCGGGGGACGCGAGGAGGACCGTGGAGACGCCGACGACGGCAGCCTGCGGAGACGGGAAAGAAAGAAAGAAGGGTCGTCGGTCAGTCGACGTGTGCTGCGATGGTAAATAATCCGGCGACGTCGCGACCCGAGAAGGACGCGCGGGGCGACGCGCGAGCGACGAACTCGCGCGATCGAGACGGAAAACGCGCGCGGGGGACGATCGATCGAGCGCGCGCATCGGCGCGTCGCGCTCGCGTCGATCGCGCGCGCGCCCCGCGCGCTCGGACGCCGGCCGGGGGGCGGATAGGTTTTCTCGCCCGCGATCGATCGACAGGGAACGTTTTCCCCGTGAAAAAGAATCGAATCGATGCGAGCGGCGCGCACCTTCTTGAGGCCGTCGAGGGACGCGACGGGGGCGACGGCCTTCTTGGAAGACACGACGACGGGCGCCTTGACGGCGACGGCGGAGCCGAGGAAGGTGGAGGTCATGGCGGCCATTTTAACGTGAGAGGTGCGTGTTACGGTGATACGTAGCGTGCGTGATAATGACGCGAATGCGCGGTGCGCTGCGCTGTCGGGGAAGATACGCTCTTCCCACTGCTGACGTGTTAGGTCTCGTCGACAGCCTGTCGTATGGCGTAGCAGTTAGGACGAGGAACGATCGATACAGTCGTATGCGAAAACGGATTAATGTCTTAGTTAGAAACGTGGAAGGAGGCGTGCCTCCCACCGTGACGAGCCCGCCGCGGCGCGTTCCGCGCGCGCGTCGTCGTCGACGACGTCGGCATCCGGCGCCCCCCTCCGTCGCCTCGCGAGAGGCGCGGTCGCGGAGGGACGCCGTCACGTGGACGTCGTCGTCGCGCGCGCGCGCGGACGCGGCGCGCGGCGGGCGGCTAAGTCGCTACAGGTACTCCCGCGGAGGGCGCGCGAAGACGGGCAGCGCGCGAGATCTCGCCGACGATCCGTCCATCCGTCGCGCGTCGTCGGGTCCTCTTCCCGTCGTCGCCTCCTCCTCCTCCTCCTCCTCCTCCTCTTCCTCTTCCTCCTCAGCACGCCTTCGTGGAGACGCCCTTGTACACCACGGGCGTCCCGAGCGAGATGTTCGTGACCGGCACGCCCGGCGCGGTCTTCCCGAACTCCGCCGCGGGCTCGAGCGCGACCCCGTGCTTTCGCTCGTAGCGCGCGGCCATGCCGCCGTCCGCGGCGCAACACGCGAACGCGTAGTCCTTCGCCGTGTCCTCGCCCGTGACGCAGTCCTTCACCTTCCTGCCGCAGTATCCGAACAGGCTGAACAAGAGTCAGAACATCGCGAGCGTGCGTCGCGCGCGCGCTCGAGTGCGCGACGTCGTCGTTTCTTTTTTCGCGCCTGACGACACGGCCGATCTTATTGTTTTTCACCCACCCCTCGGTTTCAACATTCGATCGCGAAGCCTTTCAAACTGACCGATGAAGCGTTTTCCGCAGTGTGAATCAATCACCCGTTGCGTTCGCGAATTGTCTCTCGTCGCGAGCCAGCGACGCCGGCGGAGACGCGACGACGCCACTGCGACGACGCGCGTCCGCACGCGCAGGGCGGAGGCGCACGCGAAGGGCGGTCTTCGCGCGCGAGAGCCGGCGTCGGAGCGAAGAGAAGGTCGTCGCGCGAAGGACGCGGCGCGTTCTCCGAGGCGCGCGGTTGCCGCATTCGGCCTCCCAGCTACGCGGCGAGGCGAGCGCGCGGGCGAGCGCGGGGGGCGGTCGTCGAAACGCGAAGAGGCGTCGGCGGCGATGGCGAAGCCGGCGATCCCGCCCGCGCGGGCGTACGACGCGCTCTACGGTGCGTCTCCGACCCCCTCCGCGATCCCGTCGCTCGCCTCGAGCCCGCCATGTCGATCGGGGACCCGTCTAAAAACAGCGTCGCTGACCTCTTCGCTCTCTCCCGTCCGCGTCCTCCGTCGCGCAGACCCGCACGTGTACACGGTGTCCGGCGCGAGGGATCACTACCGCGAGCAGACGCGCGGCGCGGGGGCGACGCTGCGGCGCGTGCAGGAGTTCGACACGATGTACAGCGAGGTGGCGTCGCACCCTTCGCACACGTACAGGTGCGCGCGCGACTCGACGCGACGCGACGCGACGCGACGCGACGCGACGCGACGCCCTAATTTTAGATCCGCCGTCGTCCCCGACCTCCCCCCCACCCCCCGCTGACCGCGCGCGCGCTCTCCACCCCGCAGGCTCGAGAGCGCGAACCTGGTGCCGTCGCACGTCGACCGCGAGTTCCGATCGTCGCACCGCGGAGAGACGAGCGCGAGGGGCGCGGATCTCGACGCGGCGGTGACGGGTCGAAACCAGGCGAAATTTTTCCGGAGGCCGCTGGGCGCGGCGCGGCGCGGGATGGTGCCCGTCCCGCCGTCGATCCCGCGCGGGGGCGGGAGGCGTTCGAAGCAGGTGGACGGCTCCGCGCTCGGCGGCGGCGGCGACGACGACGACGACGACGCGAGGGCGTCGAACGACGAGAACGAAGACGCCGCCGTCGACGACGCCGACGAAGATTCGAAGACGACGACGACGAAGACGTCGGTCACGGTCGGAACGCAGAGCGACTACCGCGAGAACGACGCGCAGACGATGCCGTACGCGCCGGATTACGTCATCCCCGCGAACCCGTCCGCGAAGCAACGGTACCTCAGCGCGCTCAACCACACGCGGAACGGCGAGCCGGAGATTTTATCGCTGACGCACTTGGAATACGGCGGGATCGACTTTCTCCGCGGCCGTGACGTCGGCCCCGAGCACCTCGGCCTCGCATACCGCGTGAAACAGCTCGAGGTGGAGCACGTCGAACGTCTCCGAGCGAAGCGCGCGTTCGAGGCGTCGCTGCCGCCGTTGGACGACATCGACCAGCTCCCGCTGCGTCAGAGGCTCATGGAGGAGTGGGAGGAGGCGGAGTGGGCCGAGCGAGCTAACGAGATCGAACGGCTGCAAGAGGAGCGGCTGGATAACATCCACCGGGCCATCGTGGAACGCGAGACGCGCGCGGAGAAGATCGCGGAGGAGCGAATCGCGCGCGTCCGCGCCGGGAAGCTCGCGGAGAAGCAGCGGAAGTTTGAGAGCATCCAACGGAAGCGCGTCGTCGCGTTGCGGAAGCTCGGACGCGCGCGCGACGACGCGCGCGTGACGCCCGAAGCGCCGAGCGTCATCGACGAGTACGCCAACTTCGCGTCGACGAAGTACGCGCCGCTGCGGCGGTTGGGGCAGCACCCGGACGGCGCGGGGCCGCCGCCGCGTCCGCGGCGAAAGAACGCGGCGTCGCAGAACGACGGCGGATCGATCGCGCAAAACCTTCCTTTTTCCCTGTCTCGCGCCGCCGCGGAGACGGGGTTTTACCAGCCGAGAACCGTCTCGGACGCGGACGCGTTGCTCTCGTCGCTCCCGCGCGGCGCGCTCGACCCCGACGCGACCGTGGCGCGCGTGACGCGCGAGACGAGCGACCTCGCGGCGACGATGGCGAAGGACCCGCACGAGCGACGAAGAGAAGCCAAGCTCGCGGAGGAGCTCGATCGCGTCTACGAGACGCTGGAGGCGTCCAAGGCGCTCAACGGCGGGCGACGCGGCGTCGGCGCGATGTGGCCCGCGCCCGTCAAGGCGGCGGACAAAGAAGCCGGCGCCGCGTTGGTGTCCAGCGCGGCGGCCAAGCAAAAGGCGGGCGACGCCGCGGCCGCGAGGGCGGCGGCGGCGGCGGCGGCCAGCTCGAAGGTGGAGCGGCCGGAGACGCCGACGCTGCCGCCGCCGGGCGGGGACCCGATCGCCGCGGAGCGAAGACGCGCCGCGCTGTTGCTGCAGCGGCTGATTCGCGGACGCGCGGAGCAAAACGAAATGTTCGCCGGGAAGGATAAGCGGTTCGAGCTCATCCGCGAGCTGCAAGTCGCGGAGGAGGACGAGGCGACGCATAGGGCGAAGAAGATCACGGAGGAGGAGCGGGCGGCGATCGCGGACGCCAACGACAGAACCGGGAGAGCCGGCGCGGGCATGCTCGGCCTCCTCACGGAGAAGAACCACGGCGTGACGCAGCTCATCTTGATGCAGACGGATCTCGCGACTCGCAGAAGAGAGGAGCGCGCGCTAAACTACGCGGCGGCGCGGATCCAGGCGGTGTGCCGCGGAAGAGCGACGCGCAAGGCGGAGGCGCGACGCCGAGCCGAGGAGGAGGCGTCCGGGGGTTTGCCCGACATCGCGAGCTTCGAGCCGGAGGAGATCGCGCACGTGACGAGGATTCAGTCGAGCTTTCGCGGGCGGTCGTCGAGGAGGAACATGCGGCTGTACGGGACGCCGTCCAAGCCGAAGGATCTGTCGAAGGATCTGAAGGAGCCGTCGACGCCGCCTATACCGCCGCCGCCGCCCGCGAATAAGGAGCCGGCGGCGGAGCCCGCGACGCCGCCGCGCGCGCCCGCGCCCAAGGAGCCGGAGGAGGAGGACTTGGATCCGCTCGCGAACCTGAGCGCGGAGGACCTCGAGAAGGTAATGGCGATGCAATCGAGCGCCAAAAAAATCGTGGACAAAAAGTCGCTCGAGTCGGAGCTCGGGGAGCCGCTCGCGACGCTCCCCGCGGACGCGCTCGGGTCGTCACCGTCCGCGCTCGTCTCCGCGGCGACGCTGCAGCGCGCGGCGACGGCGCGTCTCGACGACGTCCCGGCGCAGCCGCGCGTTCGAGGCGCGCGCGGGCTCGCGAGCGCCATTCTCCTACAATCCGCGGCGGCGACGCGCGCGAGAGAAGTCGACGCCGACGCGGCGTTCGAGGCGAAGATGGACGCGGCGTTAGAGGAGCCCCTCGAGGCGGAGAAGGCGAAAGAGAAGATGCCCGAAAACGACGCGTCGGCGTCGATCGAGTCGATCGAAGACTCGGCCGCGTTCAGGTGCGTTCTATACACTGGTCCCCATACGACCGCGTTGGCGTGGTGGACGCCGATCCTTAAGGACTTTTGCCGTCGTTTCTCTCCGCCCACCCCTCGGTTTCAATCCCCGTCCTCGAAGCCTTTCAACTCCATCTGACGCCTTTCAACTCCACCCCGACATCTCCGAAGACTCGCCGACGTCTCCGACGCGTCTCTCGCGGCCATCGTCGGCGTCCAAGCCGCCGCCGCCGGCTTTCTCTCTCGCGCGAAAGCCGCGGCGCGAGAGAAGCGCCTCGCCGCGAGCGGCGTGAGCCAACGCGCGAGCACGAGGGCCGACGTCACGTACGCGGTCTCGTCGCGGGTTTTGGACGAGAGCGTCGACGAGGACGCCACGGAGACGATTCGAGTGCAAAACACGCAGCGGCACGCTCGCAGGCGCGGGAGCAGGCGCGCCGTCGACGGCGGCGCGTTCGGAGGGTTGAGCGAGACGCGCGAGGAGGGCGAGGAGGGGGGGGACGAGGGAGATGCCGAGCTGGAGGGCGCGGCGGCGGGGGCGACGAGTTCGCGCGAGGCGCTGGAGAGTAAGATCGCGGAGGCGAGAGGGAAGGGGGGCGGCGCGCTGTGATTCGACGACGTCACTGGAGTAAAAATTTCGCGTCGATCCGCGCCCGTGTTTTAGGAGGCCCTACGACATGCACTATCAGTCTACTCCTCATACGAAAGTCACACGAATTCGTAGTACGTTCTCGGTCGGCGTTCATAAGATATTTTTTCAAACTAAATAACCATTCACCATGCATTGGCCACAATTTCAAACTGTTTGCCCATAGGAGGTTGGGTTTGTACAAAGTCGATCAAAGTCGAACCATGCACTACGCAGCCCTTCCGGGCAAATGTGACGTAAAGAACCTTTGTTCGGTCACGAACATGCGGCGCGCGGATAAACGCGCGCACCGCGACGCCGCGACCGCGCGCGGAGGCGCAGATCATCGCGATCTCGCCACCGCCGCGCGTGCCGTCCGCATCGAACGCGCGTCGACCGCGCGCGCGTCCTCCGATCGCGCCGCGAGGCCAGACGGCGGACGGCCACGTGTCGAGCCCTCCTCGATCGCGGCGCCTGTCCGACTTTGAAAGGTCGCGGGCGCCTCGCGATATCTTCGCCGCGATGAGCGCCTCCGAGCGCTCCGGCGGCGCGTCCGTGGGGCCGGACGCGTGGGAATACGACGTCCTCGCCGCCGCGGAGAGCGGCGGGTACGGCCTCAAGGGCATCGCGTTCGAGATCTTCCACGGCGAGGGTCTCGTGGACGCGTTCGCGATCCCGCACGCGCGCTTCAAATCCCTCCTCGCGCGCATCGAGCTGCTGTACTCCGTGGAGAATCCGTATCACTGCGCGCTCCACGCCGCGGACGTCCTGAGCGCGACGCACTGCCTTCGCAAGGCGCTCCCGGACGTGTTCTCGGCGGTGGAAACCCTCGCGCTGTACCTCGCCGCGCTCGGACACGACGCCGGCCATTTCCGCCTGAACAACGCGTTCCTGAAGAACAGCAAACACACGCTCGCGAAGAAGTACCCGGAGTCCGTGCTAGAGAACTTCCACCTCGGCCTCGTGTTCGAACTCCTCGAGGACCCGGACGTGGGGATCGTGCCGTTTCTCCCCGCGACGGACCTCGCGCGGTTCAGAGCGCTGCTCTCCGCGCTGATACTCGCGACGGACATGAGCAAACACATGGGACTCTTCAAGGAGCTGCAGCGGTGGGTCGGCGAGAACGACGGCGCGCGCGACGGCGACGGCGACGACGACGACGATTCGCGCGCGGGGACGCCGTACGACACCCTGAACGACGCCATCGAGGCCTCTGACGCGGCGAACGATCTGTTGCGCGTGCCTCATAAAAACGGCCACGGAGGAGGCGATATTCCCCAGATCAGCGGCGCGCGCGACGGATCGAACGAAAACGATCACGAGCCGTGGGTGCGTCCGGCGTTGGAACGCGCGAGCGAGAAGGATAGACTCGTCGTCATGCAGCTGCTGCTGAAGTGCGCGGACCTCGCGAACGTCGTGCGGCCGCTCGAGATCGCGGACGCGTGGGGCAAGCGCATCATGGAGGAGTTTTACCAGCAGGGCGAGAAGGAGCTGTCGTTGGGTCTGCCGCTGACGACGTTTCCGAATCGACGCAACTTTGATTACGTCTTCGCGCGGCATCAGCTCGGGTTCCTCGTCAACGTCGTCCGGCCGCTGTTCGAGGTGTTCACTCGGCTGACGTCCTTCGACGCTCGAGAGGCGGTGCTCGCGTCCGCGGCGGAGAACGGCGACGCGTGGACGCGACGCGAGTCGCAGAACCAGCCGGGGCGCAAGGAGGCGGCGGGCCGGCCGTCGACCGCGCCGACGGCGATTTCCAAGTCGCCGTCGTCGTCGTCGTCGACGTCGACGTCGCGCGGCGCGTTCGGCGCGCTCGCGCGACAGAACACGATCACGATGATGCGCGCGTTCAAGCAGAGCAACCTCACGATGCTCACCGCGAACGCGATGGAGATGACGGGCCTCGACGTCGCGTTGGACGAGGTGCGTTCTACACACTGGTCCCCATACGACCGCGTTCGCGTGGTGAACGCCGATCCTTGAGGACTTCGTTCGGCGCTTCTCTCCGCCCACCCCTCGGTTTCAATCCCCGTCCTCGATGCCTTTCAACTCCACCTGACGCCTTTCAACTCCACCCCGACAGGATTACGGCGCCGGCGACGCCGCGGAGACGCTCGTCCGGTCGCTGATTCCGTACGTCCCGCGGCTGGAGCTCACGCGGCTCACGCGCATAGGGTTCCTCGCCCCGGCCTCGGCGCCCTCTGGGCGAGGAGGGACGAACGGCAGCAGAGACGCGTCTTTGGACGGCGACGTGAAGGGCGCGATGAAGGGGGCGTTCCAGGTGAGCTACGAGCTCGACGCCGCCGTCGTCGTCGCGTCTTTTCGCGGCTTCCTCGCGCTTCACGAGCGTTTCGTCGACGGCAGGACGAAGAAAGGCGCGGGCGCGGGGAACGACGAGGGCGCGGTCGCGCTCGCGGGCGCGATCGACGACTGTCTCGGCAAGGCTGTCGACGCGGTGCACGCGTCCGGCGGCGACGTCGTCCGCCTCGGGTACGACGGCGTGGTGTGCGTGTTTCCGATGTCTGGGTCGCCCGGCCGCCGAAAGGGCGGCGGACGCGACGACGACGTCGACTCGGACGACGACGACGACGGCGGCGCGCGCGGAGGGAGGGAGTGGGGAAACCGAGACCGAGACGCCGCCGCGGACGCGACGAGGGCCGCGGGCGCGACGCTACGCGCGATGAAGTGCGCGTTCACGCTCGTGTCGCAGCTCTCGTCGTCCACGCCCGAGCTCGCGGTTCGAGCCGACGACGGCGAATCCGCGGGAGCGACGACGACGACGTCCCCGCGCGTCGAGCAAATCTGGCCCGGGCTGAGACGGCACAGCGCGGGCCTGCGCGTCTTGGTCGTCGAGGCGCTGCAGCTGTCGCGGATGACGTTGGGGCGGCTGCTGGATCACTTCGGGTGCATGCCGCACTTCGCGGAGAACGCGAGTCAAGCCGCGGCGGCGTGCGCGAACATGGAGTTCGACGTCGTGCTCGTGGACCTGATGCTTCCGGATTTGGACGGCTACGAGGTGGCGCGGCACGTCCGAAACAACGCCGGGCCGGTCAACGCGCGGGCGTTCATATGCGCGCTCACCGCGGTGGATCAGCCGGAGTTGCTCGAGCAGTGCCTCAAGGCGGGGATGGACGAGGTCGTGGCCAAGCCCGCGTCGATGACGTCGCTGCAGGAGACGTTCCGGAAGGCGCGACGGCTGAAAGCGGAGGCGCGGCGGATTCGACGCGCGGAGGCGGCGACTCGAAGAAGCCTGAAGAATGGACCTGGGGCCGCGACGCCCCCGAGCAAGTCGTCGCCGTCGGCGCCGGTGCTGGCGTCGGCGGCGCGCGATCCCTGGGCGCCCGGGGAGAGACCGACGTCCTCGCGCGCGTCCATCGACGTCTCCTCGCGCGCGCGCGCGCTCCCGGCGTCGACGCCGCGCGACGCCGCGGGCGGCCCCGCCGCCGACGCGTCGCACGTCGTGCTGACCGAGGACAACGAAAAGTGCGTCCCGGTGTCGATGCCGCGGTTCGCGGACATGCTCGCGAGCTCGAACGCGCGCGGGGCGAGGAAGGGGTCGACGCGCGACGACGCGGGCGGCGGCGGCGGAGGAGGAGGAGGAGGAGGAAAAAAGAGCGGCGCGTGGACGCGATTCTTCTCGAGTCTTTGCGGCCGCGGCGGCGGCGGCGAGAAGAAGAAGAGCGAATACAGCGACGGGAGCTACGACGGCAGCGGCGGCGTCAAGATCGCGGCGCGCGACGACAGCGACGTCAAGCTCGCGCTGAAAAATCTCGCGAAGCACAAGGGGGACGCCGTCGCGAGAGACGACGCGAGCCGCCGCGGCGGCGCGTCGTCGTCGTCCTCGTCCGACGACGACGACGACGACGACGCGCGGGCCGCGGGGAGGGGAATGCCCGTGTGCGTCACCGTCACCGCGTCCGTGGGGTTCGGCAAGGTCTCCATGATCCGCGTCGGTAACGGTCTCGCGTCGTCGGTTACGACGACGACAAACGCGGGGGGACAAAGCGCATCGTGCGATTTCAGGGATGAGATCGTCGCGCTCGACGCGCCGCTCGGGATGGAGCCGTACGCGTCCGCGGCGGCGTCCGCGGCGTTCGGACCCGCGCACGGCGGCCCGTTCCAGCAGGTCGCGACGCTCTCCTCGCTCGCGACGGACGGCGACGTCGTGCTCTCCCCCGTCGCGTGGCGGCTCGTGCGCGAGCACTGCGAGTGCGACGCGCCGCCGCGGCTGCGCGGCGGCGCGCGGCTCAATCGGCTGCGCGTGCACGAGGTGGTGCCTCCGCTGACGCACCACGCGCTCGCGACGAACCAGTTCGCGAGCCTGATACCGCGACGGCCGGACGCGACGCGCGCGCTCGCCGCGATCGAGGGGCTCGTCCCGAGACCGCTGCGGGTCGCGCTCGCGGAGCAGTCGACGGCGACGGCGGCGGCTTTGTCGGCGTTGAGAACCGCGCGCGTCGAAAAGATGAAGAAGCGAGACGACGCGGCGGCCAAGGCCAAGGCGGCGAACGCGGCAAACGGCGAGACCGCGGATCGTCAATCGATCGACGAGGACGCGGACGACGACGCGACCGCCGCGATCGTCATGCCCGGCGCGCCCGCGCGATACGTCGACGCGGTGACCGTGTGTCTGTATCTCCCCGGCTGCTCCTCCGCGGCGCGAGGGCACGTGGTCGTCCCCGCGGACACGCCCTCCGTCGCGAGCGCGTTCACGACCGCCGCGTCCAGCGTCGTGGAGCTCCTCGCGCGCTTCCCCGGGAGCACGTTCGTCCGCGTGACGTCGGACGTGTTGCTGAGAAAAGACGCGGCGGACGGTGGCACCGGCGGCGGCGGCGGCGGCGGCGAGGTGCGTTCTATACACTGGTCCCCATACGACCCCGTCGGCGTGGTGAACGCCGTTCCTTAAGGACTTTTCCCGGCGCATCTCTCCGCCCATCCCTCGCTTTCAATACCCACCCTCGGCGCCTTTCAACTTCAACTGACGCCTTTTAACTCCACAGGGCGTCGTGATGTACTTCGCGTTCGGGCTCCCCGGGGCGGCGACGAACGCGGGCTCGTGTGGGGTCGCGGACGACGCGTCGTCGTCGTCGTCCACCTCAAACATAGTCTCCCCCGTGTTGGCCGCGAGCGCGCCCGCGCTCGCGACGTCGTTCGCGCTCGCCGCGCGTGCGGCGATGGTGCACCTGGGACACATGTCCGCCTCCGCCGGCGTCGCCGCGGGCGTCGTCGTCTCCATGCCCGCGCGTTTGGCGCGGAAGCGCACGGAGTGGGGGCTCGTCGGCGACGCGGTGCACAGGGCGGAGAGGCTCGCGTACGCCGCGGACGCGGAGGTGCTGTGCGACCTCGCGGTCGTGCGGGGCGTCGGCGCGGACGGGTACATCGACTTTGATCCGGTGCCGCACGCGAGCGGCGACGACACCGCGCGGCCGCGGAACTTATCGGAAGGCGCGCTCGACCGCATTCTCGCAGTCGCGATGGGGAAGCGCTTCGGGAATTCCGCGAGGGGCGCGGACGGGATGGCGCAGGTGGCGGGGATGAGCACCGTGCTCGGAAAGATGGAGCTGCGCGAGCGCGGGAGCGAGCTCGGGAACGGCCTCGCGCCCGGCGATTGCGTCTTGATTCCCGCGGGGACGCTCGAGAAGGACGCCGCGGGAGAGCGCGACAAAGAGATTCAGATTCGACGACGGACCAGCACGCGGTTCTCTCAGAACGACAAGAGAAACGACGACGACAAAGAGAACGCCGACGCGGCGAGAAGAGAGGCGGACGGCGAAGCGCTCGAACGCCTCGCGGCGCCGCCGAAGACGCTTCCGCAGTCGGCGGCGGCCGCGCTGACGTCGGCGGCGGCGCACTCCGCCGCCGCGGAGGCGCTCCACGACGCGTACCTCTCCGGCGCGCGCGCGGGCTGGCGCGGGTTCGGCGGAAAAACGATGCGCCGCGACGCACTGATCGTCGCGGCGAAGCGCGTCATCGCGGACGCGCAGGAGTCGATGGCGCCGAGGTTGCTCTTCATCGAAGGGCCGCCGCACTCGGGCAAGACGCGCGCGGCGGCGACGGTGCTCGACCTGAAAGAAGCGCGGCGGATGTGGCTTCTGCGCGTCTGCGGGCGCGACGACCCGAGCGAGCGCAAGAGCGTCGGCGCGAAGACGAACGTCCGCGCGCTGTTCCCGTTCATCGCGCTGTTTCATCAGCTCTTCGGGTTCGCGCCGGAGGCGTCTATGCGCGAGCGAAAAAACGCCGTCGTCAACGTGTTGGAACGCTGCGGCAGCGGCGCCGAGCGGTACGGGCGGTACGCGAAGCCGATCATGGAGCTGCTCGAGCTCGACGAGCCGGAGGGGTATCGCGCGGGAGGCGACGCTTCGGGACGCTGGGGGGGACCGGGGACGCGCCGACGCTCGTCGAACAGCGGGCTGAACTATAGTATCCAGCGAGAGAGGCGGCGATCGATCATCGTCGCGCGGCGCAACTCCGTGACTTCGGCGACGGGCTCCGAGGGCGGCGACAGCGACCGCTCCTCGCACGGCGGCAAGGAGTTCAAGGAGTTCGCGCTCGCCGTGTCGTCGAGGGAGAACTCGCTCGGCGGCGTCGGCGGCGTCGGCGGCGGGAAGATCGCCGCCGCCGCCGCCGCGGATATGACGCAACGCGCGCTCTCGGGGCTGCAGCGAAGGTTGTCGCTGACGTCCATCGCCGGTAGCAACGCCAGCGGCGGGGAGAGCGTCTCCGGGGCCCAAACATCCTCCAGGAGGCGTCGACGCAGCGAGACGTTGGACCCCCTCTCCGTCGCGGCGGTGGACGCCGCGCACGAATTTCTCTCCCCGGTCGCCGTGGACACGCTGCTCGACGACGGGTTCGGGTACCATTTCGTGCCGCTGGATAAGATGGAAGAGCGCGCGAACATCATGGAAGCGCTCGAGGAGGAGGAGTTCGAGGACAGCGTCCGCGGTGGTCGCGTCGGCGAAGGCTCCGGCTCCGGCCGAGGAGGAAGCGCGGCGGACCTTAAAGCCGCGGCGCAGGCGACGGCGGCGAAAGCGCTGGCCGGCGACGCCGCGAAGATCCGTCGCGCGAAGAAGCGCAAGGCGAACGAGATGCACGGCGGCGATGCACTCTCGGTCATCGCGGGAAGACTCGCGGGCGCGGTCGCGTTCACGCGGCAGCGCAACGGCGTCCAACGCCGCGACCACAACAAGCGGTTCCGCGCGTGCCTCCACCGCCGAAAAAACACGCTCGCGTCGCTCCTCCTCTCGCACGACGGCGCGAGCCGCCTGTGCCAGGCCCTCGCGCTGCTGCTCCAGCGCCTCATGCTCGGCAGAAGCGTCCAGGCCGCGCCCGCGCAGGCGGCGTCGCCCGGGTGGATGCTCGTCGTCGACGACGCCGGCGCGTTGGACCCTCTCTCCATGGGCCTCATCCGCGCGGTGCTCGAGCACTGCTCCGTGCCGATGGTCGTGCTCATGTGCCACGACTCCGTGGTCAAAGAGGGACGTCACGGCACGTTCGACCCCGTGCTCGTCTCGATGCACAGCAAGCGAGGCCGCGGAAAGGGTTCGGCTTTATCTCCGAACCTGCCGACGATCCACGACGACGACCGCGGCAGCGACCGCGGCAGCGACACCGCGAGCGTCACCGCGAGCGTCGATTCTCTGACGTCGACTTCACTGACGCGGTCGTACTCGGAGCGCTCGTCGTCCAACCTGAAAGGCGGCTCCGGGAGGGATAAAGACTTTCTGAACGTCATCCTGAACCGCAAGAACGACGTGTGGGGCGTGAGCGCGCACGAGGCGACGGCGACGCACGCGACGGCGACGGCGGTGGCGAGCGCGAAGGCGGATTTGGAGTGGATGTTGTCTCGCCCCGGGACGTCACGCGTCGTCGTCGAGCCGTTCACGGAGAACGAGCTCCGAGTCCTCGTCGAGCGCCGAGCCGCGGTCATCTTGACGAGAGAACGCGGCGGCGTTAGCGGCGGCGGGCGTGATCGAGACGCCGGCGCGGGCGGCACGGACGCTCTCGCGAACGACTCGACCGCGACCGGCGGCGGCGGGAAAGACGCCGACGCCGACGACAGAGACGCGCTCTTCAACACGGCGGACTCGTCGAGCTCGTCCGACAAAGACAAGGACAAAGACGGCGCCGCGTACGTCGGCCTGCCCGCGTCGCTCCACGACGCCATCTACTCCACGACGCGCGGCGACCCGCTGTACGCCGCGCGCGTGATCGACCTCCTCATCGCGTCGAGAGCGGTCGTCGCGACGGAGACGACTGACGCGCCGCTGCACGGCGGGCCCGCCGGGTGGAAAGTGGACGTCGCGGCGACGGACGCTGACGTCGTCGATCGATCGAGCGACACCGGACTGTCCGTCGACGCGGTGTGCGCGATGTCGCTCTCGGACGTCGTGTTGGAGGTGATCGAGCGGCGGCTGAGCCAAGACGCGCAGCTCGCGATGCGAGCGCTCGCGGCGGCGGGGACGTCGTTTCCCGCGGCGCTCGCGTGCGTGATCGTGCAGAGGCGGATGTCCATCGTCGCGCGCGACGTCGTCGAGTCTGAGTTTGAGTCGCGATCGCAATCGCAGTCTGACGCGACGAGAAGCGGCGGGCGCACGATGACGCGCATGGGCGTGGACGACGACGACGAGAAAGCGGGGGGCGCGGGCGGCGGCGGCGCGGGCGGCGGCGGCGGTGGAAAATCGTCGTCGTTCGATTCGTACGCGCCGACGGCGGCCAACGAGCACGGCGTCTTGCTCGCGTACGACGTCGTCTCCTTCGCGTCGCGCGCCGCGAAAGCAATCGAGGAGCTCATGGAGGAGGGGCACATCGTCGCGCAGTGGGGGTCGCTGAGCGACGCGCTGGACGCCGCGAAGGTTGCGGAGAACGACGCGACGTTGGAGTTTGCCGCGGCGAACGTCCCGTTTCCGCTGAAGCAGCCGCGATGCCTCGCCGCCGCGCCCGCGAGCGATCCGATGGGCGGTGAGGGCAACCGCGGCAGGGTCGCGAGGACGCCGCACATGAGCTTCGCGAACGCGGTCACGCGCGAGATTTTGTACGCGTCGATGCCGCCGCGCGACAGACGAGAGATTCACCTCGACGTCGTCGGGGTGTTGAAGTCGGACGCTGCACACGCGGAGGACATCTTGGGCGATCTCGCGGCTGCGGCGTGCCTCAACGACGAGGCCGCGTATCACCTCGAGGTCGTGCAGAGGATCGATCGCGCCGCGCTCGAGAGCGCGGCGCACAGCGCGTCGTTTTTTCACCGAGGCAAGAGCGAAAAAGAGAAAACCGGCGGCGCCGGCGGCGCGTCCGAGCTCGGCGGCTCCGGTGGCGCGTCGCCGTCGCGGTCGCGACGTCCCAGCGTCGGCGGCGTCTCCGCGTCGTCCGGGAATTCAGTGAGCTCGGACCTCTCGAGCTCCTCGCTCGACGCCGGCCTCTCGCCGTCGTCGTCGTCGATGCGCAGCGGCTCGCTCGCGACCGTCGCGTTCAAGTCGTCGCGAGAGCTCTCTTCCCACAGATCTCACGGCGCGGCGGGGGTCCCGCCGTTCCGGACGTTCGGCCATGACCACGTCGCGGTGCGCGTCGCGGGTCTCATCGCCGCCGCGAACGGGCTGCGCGCGCGCGTGCAGTGCCACGAGAACGCCGCGAAGGCGCACTTGCGGCACGGCGGCGCGCGCGCGGCGCTGACGAGCGTCAGCGCCGCGGGCGTCGCCGCCCACACCTGGGTCGAGAGCTCGCACGCGCTGCAGAAGGCGTTCGGGAAGACGCACCCGGAGGCGGTCGCCAGCGCGACGCTCGGGGTGAACGACACGCGGTGTTTGCTGGTGAGGAACGCGGCGTGGGCGATTCTCGCGTCGCGGATGACGCTTGACTTGGGCGAGTGCGTGCCTCCGTTTCTTTTACTCAACAACGAAACGGACGCGAGGGCGCCCTTACGGTGCTTGCGAAGAGCCGCGGACGCGCTCGCGCTCGTTTGGCCGTTCAGAGACCGCGCGAGCAGGGATTTCAACGTGACGTACGCGCGAGAGCAAGCCATCGCGGCGGCGGTGCACGATAACCTCCCGAAAAAAGCTGGAGTCTACGCGCGCGGCGGCGACGCGGCGTTCGAGCGAGACGCCGGCGGCTTTTGCGGATGTCTCGGCTCCATCGCGAGCGTCGGGAACATTCCCCTTCAGGATCTGAACAAGGCGCTGGACCGCGCGAGCGCGCACTTGCGACGCGCGCCGCGACGTCGTCCTGGCGAAAGCGACGTCGACGTCGACGGCGCTTCGGGAGAGAAGGCCGCCGCCGCGGTCGCCGCGGTCGGCGACGACGTCGACTCCCACGGTCGCGACGACGCCGCCGCGGGCGCGGGCGCGTCGTCGCACTCGCACTCGCACTCGCACTCGCACTCGCACGCCGCGGGGCTCGTCCTCCACGCCCCCAAAGGCGGCGACCCGCACAAACCCGACGGGTTCGCGCGCGACTTCCAACGCATGTCCGAGATGGACGCCGGCGTCGCGGACGTCCTCGCGTACGCGGAACAAATTCGAAAGAGCGCGATGACGCCGCAGCGGCTGTGGATGCGCGACGAGCTCGCGCTCGTCGTCGCGAGCGACCTCTCCACGACCGCCGTCTTCGCCGGAAGGTTAGGCTTCGCGTGTCAGGCGATACTGAAGCACGTGAACGCGTTCGTGGACTGCCGAGGCGCGGACGTGTGCGACGCGGCGTTAATACTTAACACCGCCGCGGCGGTGTGCACGTCGACGCAACGCGCCGCGCTGCTCCTGCGCGCGAAGACGATCGTGGTGATGGAGACGTCGCGGATCGCGCGCGAGGAGGACGAGCGGGGGTCGGGCTTAGCGTACGCGAGGGGGGAAGATCGGGGGCGATCGATGTCGACGCTTTCGAGCGCTTTTGGCGGCGGCGGCGACGGCGTCGACTCACACGAGAGCAGCGCGCACGGCGGCGTGAGGATGCGAAGCGCGCTGCTCGCCTGCCGCAGGCGCCGCGTGCGGTTTGCGGAGAAGGCGCCGCCGCCGCGATCCGGCCCCGCGATGCTCATGCGCGCCTACGCGGAGTGCTGCCAAGGCGACTGGGTCGTCGCGCGCGGCGCCGCCGCCGCCGCGGTGGCGCTCATGGAAAAAGACGACCACGCGCGATCGAACGCGCGGCTGTGCGACCTCGCGCGGTGCCTCGGCGCGACCGCGTACGCGCACCTGGGCCACTGGGAGTCCGCGCTCGCGGCGGCGACCGCGCTGGCGGAACACCGCCGACGACACGCGGAGATCGGTCCGTGGATCCTCGCGTTGCGCATGGCGTCGATGACGGCGATGAAGGCGCGTTCTATACACTGGTTCCCATACGACCGCGTCGGCGTGGTGAACGCCGATCCTTAAGGACTTTTCCCGTCGTCTCTCTCCGCCCAGGGTCCCTCGCTTTCAATCCCCGCCCGCGATGCCTTTCAACTCCATCTGACGCCTTTGAACTCCACCCCGACATCGCTTCGTATGGAACGACCCTGAAGAACCCGCACGGCGCTGTGAGCCTATGGCGCGAAGCGCTCGAGCACGCGCCGCTGAAGGGGCTGCGGCTCGGCGCGGACGAGTTCCAGGGCTCCGACGCGGTCGCGCGCGGGGACTCGAACAGAGGCGGCGGGCGGACGGTCTTCACGGGGGATTACACGCCGTCGCTCGCGAATTATCGCGACTCGCGCGTCGGCGCGGGCGCCTCCGGGGGGGTGAGGTACGAAGCGGAGCGCGTCGATCGAGGGTCCGCATTCGACGCGGAGAGCGGATGCGCGGCGCCGGACACCGTGTTTGCCGCGAAAGACATGCCCGCGTTGGTCGCGTGTCGCGCGTTCGCCGCGCAGGCGCTGTGGGCGTCGGGCGGCTCCAAGTCTCGAGACGAGTCGTGTCGGATGGCGGATCAGCTCTGCGACCAGCTGCACTCGCTGCACTCGCCGACGCACGTGCTGCTGCCGTCCGCGGCGCTCGCGATCGGGGAGACGGTGGCGAGGGCGTGTCACGTGGGGAAGATCACGAAAAAGCGCGGGCGGCGGATGCTCGCGGAGATTCACGCCTTCTTGGCGCGCAGAGCGGAGCAGCTGTTGCCGTTCTCGTCGCAACTCGCGGAGCGGCTGAAGGAAGTCGCGCCGCCGGGGTATTTATGATTTACGTCGCTCGATAGAAAAGGGAAGTCGAGGGATGACGAGGGATGACGGGGTCATGATAGGACTAGGGTAGCCCTGACACCCTGGGAAGGGCATTGATATCTTTTGGTATTCTTTTAATACTACTAAGTTGTTATGATACTTCACCTTACTTACGGTAGCGGGTAACCCACCCGGGGTATTTCAACGGAAGGCAAAGGTACGGATGTACTTCCGCGCTTCCGACCCTTCGAAGGAAGCACTCGTTTCACCACACCATGTCGCCGCACCCGAGACTCAGCGCGTGCCGCATGTTCTGTTCGCAGCCCTCCACGAGCGCTCGCATCGCGCGCGCCGCCTCCTTTCGAACCTTCGCGTCGTCGTCGTCGTCGTCGCCGCCGCCGCCGCCGCCCTTCTCTCCCTCCTCCGTCTCTCCGCCGCCGCCCGCGCCCGCGTCGAACCCGAACACCCTCGCGGTCGCCGCGACGCGATCCAACGCCCCCAGCGCGCCCATCTCTCGCCGCGTCGTCTCCCCGCACGGCGGCGACGCGACGCGTCGAAGCACGCGCAGCGACGCGAGCTGAATCCCTCGGTGCGTCGGATGATTCCCCATCGCGCTGTGCAGCGTCGCGTCGACGACGCCGGCGCTCACGAGCGCGGACTGAGGGGTGCGCTTGTCCGCGTCGCGGTTCGCCGCCGCCTCCGCGGATTCGAACCGACGCGGATTCGATCCGCCGCCGCCGACGGACGACCGTCGTCGTCGCGCGTCGATTCGCCTTCTGTGCGCCCCGGAAGACGAACCGTCGCCGTCGTCGTCGTCGTCGTCGTCGTCGTCGTCGCCGAAAAAATCCCGCAGCGCCGCCGTCGTCGCGCCGCCCAGCACAGCCGCCGCGAACTGGTCCCTCTCCACGGTCATCAACGCGACGTCGTCGCTCTCCGCGACGTACGTCGTCGCCGCCGCCGCGCTCGCGCTCGCGCCCGCGCCCGAGTCCTCTCTCTCCCTCCCTATGTCCCCCGCGTCGAACCCGAACGACTGAGGGTAATCGTCCATACGAGCGAACGTCGGGGTGGAGTTGAAAGGCGTCAGGTGGAGTTGAAAGGCGTCGAGGTGTGTCGGGATTGAAAGCGAGGGGCGGGCGGAGAGATGCGCCGGGCAGAGTCCTTAAGGATCGGCGTTCACCACGCCGACGCGGTCGTATGGGGACCAGTGTATAGAACGCGCCTCCCCCGCGCGTAAGATATCGCTTCTCCGTCCGTGCATCGCGCGAAGTTCTCGCTCGAGCTCGTCGTCGTCGTCGTGGTCGTGGTCGTCGTCGTAACGGTCCTCGTAACGGTCGTCGTCGTGACGGTCGTCGTGACGGTCGAGCAACGGCGCGTCGAGCCCGCCGCTGGACGCTCCGCGTCCGCCTTCGCCGTGCTGCGCGGCGTCGGTTGACGTTCCGTCTTCTTCCGCCCGCCGGCGAACGCACACGACGCCGCGGAGGATCAGAAAGAAGAATCGCTTCGCGTCCGACGCCTTCGACGACGCGACGACTTCCCCTCGCGCGGGACGTCTCGCCGTCGCCGCGCGCAGCAGCGCGCGCCTCGCGCTCGGGTCGAGCTCGCGGAAGAAGGCGAGGCCGCGGACGCACGCGTACGCGAACTCGACGTCGTCGTCCGTGCGATGATGCGTGATGGAGGACGCCGCCGGCGAATCGATTCGTCGACCGCTCGACGGCGTCGTCGTCCGCGCGGGCGTCGGCGTCGTCACCTCGAGGACGTCCACGCACTCGTCCGCGCGTATCACGAACCCCGGGTCGCCGCCGCCGCCGCCGCCGCCGCCGCGGCGGCGGCTCGACGCCACCGACGGCGTCGCGCGCGCGCCGTCCCGCGCGTCGTCGTCGTCGTCGTCGTCGTCGTCGTCGCGCGTCGCCGGGTCCGCGAGCGTCGACGCGAGCTCCGCGAGCGCGACGACACCCGCGAGCTGCGCGTCCTCGTCCTCGGCGTGCGCGCGCATCGCTCCCGCGATCGCCTCCGCGGCGCCGGCGTCGAGGAGCCACCCCGCGCGTCGCGTCTCTCTCCGCGTCGTCGTCGTCGTCGTCGTCGTCGTCGTCGTCGTCGTCGTCGTCGTCGTCGTCGTCGTCGTCGTCATGAACGTCGCCATCTCGCGCAGCGACGCGACGACGGCCGCGACGTCGGACGGCGGCGCGTCGAGGACGCGCGCGACGAGCTCGCGCGCGCGCGCCTCGCCGCGCAGCGCGCGGGGCATGCCCGCGGGAGGACGGCGACGACGCGCGACGAGCGACACCCCGCGCGGGTCGCTCGCGGCGCGCGCGACGTCGCGTCTGCGCGGCGAGAGATTCGTATCGACCGCCCTCATCGCCTCGCGGCGCGTGCTGACGATGCGATGCGCGTCTCGCCCGTCCTCAACTTTGACCGGCTCATCACTCGTCTTCGCTCGTCACTGATCGAGCGCGCCCCGCGCGCGCCTCGCCCCAAACCTGCCCCCTCCGTCTCGATGGAGTACCTCCAGAAAGCCGCCGCGAAGGCGAAGTCCGCCGCGAAGGCGGCTCGGTACGCGTACGAGGGCCTCAACGACGTCGAGATCGCGGTGATGGACGCGACCGATAACGAAAAGTGGGGCCCGCACGGCGCGGACCTCAAGAAGATCGCGAATCTCACGCGCGATCGCGAGAACTTGCACTACGTCATGAAGACGCTTCGCAGGCGCTTAGAGCACCGCGACGAGGAGTGGCGCCACGTCTACAAGGCGTTGACGGTGATGGAGTACCTCGTCGCGCACGGCGCGGAGGACTGCGTGCGCGAGCTGCGAAGGGACGCGCGCGATCTCGAGCGACTGTCGGGCTTCAAGTATAAAGAGCCGAACGGACGCGACCAGGGGATCAACGTCCGGCAGAAGTCGCAGACGATCGTCACGGTGCGCGCCGCGGCCGCCGTGGACGGCGCGCGCGCGCGGCCCTCCTCCGTCCGCGACCGCGCGCGTCCCCCGCCGCCGCGAGATCCCGGCGCCCCGCGAACAGAATCGCATCTCTCGCGACGAACCCTATCGACCGACTGACCGAACCGCGATTCCTTCCTTCCTTCCTTCCTCCCTTCCTTCCTCTCTCTCTCTCTCTCGACAGCTCCTGAACGACCCGACCGCGATCGCGGAGGCGCGCGACAAGGCGATCATGAACCGCGGGAAGTACGGCGGCATCTCCGCGGCGGACGTTCGCGGCGGGTCGTACGGCGGGTCGCGCGGCGGGTCGTCGTCGTCGTCGTCGTTTCCCTCTTCAGGTGCGTTCTATACACTGGTCCCCATACGACCGCGTTCGCGTGGTGAACGCCGATCCTTAAGGACTTTTGCCGGCGTCTCTCTCCGCCAACACCTCGGTTTCAATACACGCCCTCGAAGCCTTTCAACTCCAACTGACGCCTTTCAACTCCACCCCGACGTTCGCTCGTACAGAACGGCCCTCGCACTCGCGAGGGGGCTCGTACATCGACCGGCCGAACGCGAGCGCGAGCGACCGACCGAAGCCGCCGCCGCCGCCGCCGCCGCCGGTCGCGTCGTCGTCTTCGGGGCAAGAGCCGACCTTCGCGGCGAAGTTTGGCCGCGAGGACGACGCGGACTCGGACGGCGAGGGCGGATGGGGCGCCGACGCGTCGGCGACGGCGGCCGCCGCCTCCGTCGCGAAGAGGGGCGGGACGTTCGTGCCGAAGATCCGGTCGTCCGGGAACCTCGCGTCGCCGGTGCCGGCGACGAGCGCGGCGCGCGTCGTCGGGATCGCGCCGCCGCCGGGGTCGGGCGTCAAGCCCGCGGGGGGCGGGGGCGGCGCCGACCTGTTCGGGGACTGGGGCGCGACGACGG